AAGATTTATAAAGTAAAGGTATCCTGTACACTTGTGATGTATTAGTTCTGTAAATATTGTTGGTCGACTTTAGTATTTTAGAAAATAGTTACCCAAAAAATAAAAATGTAATAAAAACTTTTAGGGTCGGAGGGTAAAATGTAGGGTAGGTCAGGTGACAGGAAACAAGAGTATTTTTTATTTTGGCCTTATTGAAAAGTTTAAATCCAAAAGTAAACCTTTGACCAGTTATGGTTTTGCTATTCTTGAGAAAAATTATTTTTAAAGAATTTTCCTATTTATTTCTATTTAAAACTTTGGTCGGCCATTGTGGCCCCGCCCTACCCCCAGGGGTCATGATTTGAACAAACTTGAATCTACACTACCTGAGGATGCTTCCATATAATTATGATCAATTATGGCTTCGTTTTTCTTGAGGAGAAGATTTTAAAAGAATTTTCCTATTTATTTCTATGTAAAATTTTAGTTCGCCATTGTGGCCCCGCCCTACCCCCAGGGGTCATGATTTTAACAAACTTGAATCTATACATTATCTGAGGATGCTTTCATATAATTATGATCAATTATGGCTTTGTTATTCTTGAGAAGAAGATTTTAAAAGACCTTTCCTAAATTTTTCTATGTAGAATTTTGGTCGGACATTTTGGCCCCGTCCTATCCCCGGGGGGAATGATTTGAACAAACTTAAATCTAAACTACCTGAGGATGCTTCCATATAAATATAATCAATCATGGTTTGTTATTCTTGAGAAGAAGATTTTTAAAGAATTTTCCTATATATTTATATGTAAAACTTTGTTCGGCCATTGTGGCCCCGCCCTACCCCCAGGGGTCATGATTTGAACAAACTTGAATCAACACTACCTGAGGATGCTTCCATATAAATATGATCAATCATTGCTTTGTTATACTTGAGATGAAGATTTTTAAAGAATTTCCCTAAATATTTCTAGGTAAAACTTTGGTTGGCCATTGTGGCCCTGCCCTACCCCTGGGGGTCACGATTTGAACAAACTTGAATCTACACTACCTAAGGATGCTTCTATATAAATATTATCAATTATGGCTTTGTTTTTCTTGAGAAGAAGATTTTTAAAGAATTTTCCTATATTGTCTATGTAAAACTTTGGTCGGCCATTGTGGCCCCGCCCTACCCCCAAGGGTCATGATTTGAACATACTTGAATCTACACTACCTGAGGATGTTTTCCCATAAGTTTCCTTTTTCCTGGCACAGTGGTTCTTGAGTAGAAGATTTTTAAAACATACCACCAATTTTCATTCATTTCCAATTATCTTCCCTTAAATGAAGGCATGGCCCTTCATTTGAACAAACTTAAATCCCCTTCACCCAAGGATACTTTGTGGCAAGTTTGGTTGAAATTGACCCAGTGTTTCTTGAGAAGAAGTCCAAAATGTAAAAAGTTTACAGATAGACGGACAGACAGGCACCTAGACAGACAGACGGACGCCGGACAAAATGTGATCAGAAAAGCCTTTGGCTCAGGTGAGCTAATAACACCACAGACTCCTAGTTAGCATCATTCTTGGTTGTTACAAATTAAGAAAGAGTAAAAATAGACCTTGCTCATGCACAAATAAAATTGAAACAAGATACTTATTTATGAGGGGAAAACCCAGTTAAATCACAGAAAACTGATGTATCAGATGCAGCCTAATTTCAAAATGTTGAGCAAACTTAAGATATGAGCAAGAGTAGCAAGAATATAATAAAGAAACCACAAAGTTCGGCGAATCTATATAGATTTGGAAGTACTTTCATGATAATGACGTTTCTAAACACAAAACCTATCTCTTACCTGTCACTGTCAGTGTTGTAAGTCTTCAATGCATGCTGACTTTTCCCGCGAGAAAAATTTCGTGCTAGTCTTCAATGCATGCTGACTTTTCCCGCGAGAAAAATTTCGTGCTTTAGTCATTTCTGAATGACGATCCCGACTATTTATAATCTGTCTTGATTATTGACGATTATTCGATAATAATATAAAAACTCTGTTATTCATTTTTTTTTCCAGATATTAAAATAAGTTGGAAGACATAAAAAAATATTGATGTACGATTCAAATGAATTGATTTACTCTTCCTCATAACTAAACCAAAACCCATGAAAGTGATCGGGGTATACTTTTTTAAGGAATGTCAATACTTTTACGGATCCGTTTTTATTATTTATTTTTTTTTTTACACACCAATATTTTAATTCTGATTATTACGGAAGCCCTGGAGGGACATTGACTTACTTGTTATGACTTATTTGTTATAACTTTTTTGTTTTGACTTATTTGTTGTGAATGTTTCCTAGCTAGTTATAACTGAGTGTAAGAAAGTTATTGGAAACCTGTTGCTTGGCTTACTTTTATGATAGAAATGATAGAAATGATATTTAGTCCTATTTTAACTGTGGTTTTTGATTAACAAATTGTAGTTTAACGTCCAGTACAGTTGTGATTTCTAAAGTAAATATTCTTTTTTGTTGTTATAACTTAATTCTTATTTTCTAAAAGTTATTACGTAATTCTTACATGTGACTTCCAGTTTGCATGATGATTGACAAACTGACAATCACTACTATGTATTTCATTTTGTCGTTAGTAATAAATTCAAGGACTTTTTTTTTCTGAAACTATACGTTCTCTTTATCTTTCACGCCACTTTTTGTAAACTTAACTTGTCATAACATATTCAAAATAACAAGAATTCAATGTTAATTCATAAGAACTAAGTCAAAATACATAAGAAATAAGTCAAAACACATAAGAAATAAGTCAAAACACATAAGGAATAAGTCAATATCTCTCAAGGGCGTCCGTAATTAACAGATGAAAATTTAGTAATCACATCAGTTTTGTACATTTAACTACAAAACTTCAATTAATCGTTCTCAATAGCTTACCTACACTTAGTTAGAAGTAACAAAAAACAATCTCAAAACAAATAAGTCAAAACAAAGAAGTTATAACAAATAAGTCATAACAAGTAAGTCAATGTCCCTCCAGGGCTTCCGTAGATTATCACCTGTCCATTAAAATTAAATATTTTTGATGATTGAATATAAGTTAGCAAGTATCAAAGCATTTAATATACATCATTTATGGAAATTAACATTTGCATGCACTCTGTTCAGAGCTATAGGAACTATAAGTTAAAGCATTTAGTACATACACAGGATCTCCATATGAGTGAGAAAATCTCGAGAGGGACGTTAAACAATATACAATCAACCATACATGCACATTTAGGCACAAAATTCTTAATTGCCTTTATGAGAATGATTGAAAAAAAAAATGATTTTCCAGAAATGGAGGTATACGTGTTCAAAAAGCTGTTTTAGTGTTATATTTAATAAAGTATGTGTTTTTGTCAACCTTAAACATGTTAAATATAATAGTTTTAAAGAAAAAAAAATTGTCAAATACTCAAATATTCTCTTGGCAAATGAACAGCTGTCATGCAGGTTTGATTTTCATAAGTTTAAACATAAAGAACTATCTTCGGTATAGATAGTTTTCGATTGACCAAGAGTTACTTCCCGTTGGTCGCCATACTGGAGGTCCAAATGCTCATATTCCTTCATTGTTCAACCAATTTAAATTTTTTATATTTGCTATTCTGAATTAGAAATCGTTATTTTTCTGAAGTATATAAATTTTGGAAGCCTTTCATTTAAAAAAAAATTATTTGATAAAGATTTTCCACCAAATATTCCTGCTATAGTTTCTTAAACTTGGTAAGACAAAGAGGGAAAATCACTGAGTCGACCTCCAATATGGCGGCCAACGGGAGGTAACTTTCGCTAAATTCAGGCCTATCGAAAACTATCTATATTGAATATCTTTGCCCCCACAAAAATTAAATTTTGAAAATTTCTTAAAATGTGTTGTATAGTATAAATTGTATGAAAAATTTAAATTAACAAAACATGTTTTAGTTTCAAAGTAGGTTAGGCCTATTGAGAATTTTTTTTAATCTATGACGTCACAAACTCGTCGATTTTTGTATTATTTTTCAGAAAAAGGACAAAATGGACAAATTTTCAACAATTTTATTTATAGAATTTATAGAGCGCATGTCTCTTCAGGAACAATATTTGCATATTTAATTGATATCATTATTCTACACATTATCTCAAAATATTGAGCCTGAACACACCTGTGCTCAGTGATTTTTACTCAAATTATTGACGCAATTTTAACATTTTTCCAAAGAAATCGTGGATCCGAAATTATAGATTTACGTCATTTTCCTGACGTCATTTCAAACATATATAGTCATTGCTGAAGAAAATATCCAGTGCTTTGAAGTCAGCATGAATCCCCATGTTTTAAAATATACTCAAATTTTACTCCGTCAAAGTTTGATTTTGGGGGCAAATATTGGTTACTACCGAATAAAGTTCTTTGATGTGTTTCAGATGGTGCATCACTAAATAAAATCTGATAATAGTATTACACTTTACACTACAAATATATGACTTTAATGGGTGTTTTAGTTAGTTTATGCAGAAGACTTTTTCAATGTACTCAAATTAGAAAATTATCAGTCACGGCAGAGAATTTTCGGCATAGTCAGTTCTACTGTGCACGAATCATATTCGTTTAATTTGCTCTTTTATAGACACATACATGCATAATCCATCTATTCATAGTCTGATAATTATTGTATTATTTCTTTCTTAATAATTAATTAGTCAATTTAATTTCATTATCGATTGGATGATTTATTTCATTACCCCCCCCCCCTCTCTCTCTCTCTCTCTCTCTCTCTCTCTCTCTCTCTCTCCCAACTTAAATTGCATCCTTCGGGCCTACCACAACCCTTAGGTGAACCTACCCTACTCCCCCAGCTGAATATTATTTTGCATTGGATCCATACATGCTATATCGATATGACCTTTATTTGCCTCAATCAAATATTCATTTTATTCAAACGACTTGACTCGCTGGGTATAGGAAGAAAATTTATTTTTGCATCGAGCTCGGCATTCACTAAATACCCGTTGTCATTAATCAATGAGGATTACGACATACACGACATTTCTAAGAAGAGCAGTACATACCGTGATGTCAATGAAACTCCCCCATTTTGCGGAGGGAGAAGTCGTGAAGGGGTTCGGGAGGGGCAGCAAGGAGCTGGGGATACCCACAGGTTGGTTACGAAGCAGGTGCCCGAAACGGAAACGTGTACACAATTAGGTTGATGTAAAACATGTTCAGCTGATATTTTTGTGTTATGTAAACACTATTTTTTTGGACATAAAATAAGTATACGTGACGAGAAAATTGCCTACTTTGATGTATTTCCTTTCTTTTCTTGATTCTTCTTGAAAGGTGACTGTATTTTAAGAATATAGTAATAACTGAGGTACAAAGAGAGACAACTGTATATCACATTTATTGACCTGTCTTTAATATCAGTTCCTGGTATATCGGGGGTGGAGATTTTCGTGGAAAACCCACTAGTCTAGAAGCTTTTGTTATCTCTCACCAGATGGCATTAGAGTAAAACTCAGTTGAGCTGCAGAGCAAGTCTTTAAAAAACTGAAAATAATAAATGATAAGTATGTTAATTAGTAATTGAATTGAAAATTATGCACTATCACATGTTGAAATTTGTGATTTTTTAAAATTTAAAATTTTTTTAAATAAATTATAATGAACACCTTAATCTGCTTAAGTAAAAAAAAAACTGTACATATAAGTCGCTGATTGTAGAAGAGGAAGCTAAATCAATGATACAGTTGAGCTGCACAGTGTTAATTGTTAATATATACTGTGTACAAAATACAAACTTAAAATAAGTTTACTTCTTCCCTTAAGCCCCCAAAAGATCTTTATCATTCCAATATTGTCCATGAGAAGTTGACATGTCATTGTTCTAGAAAAAAAATGGTCCATTTCAAAATTAAGGATTAAATTATCTCCCTCATTCATAGCTCTGATCATTCTACGTATTTGGCTCCAGTCATTAAAGCTCTTTTTTTTTTTAATTTTCTAATTTCCAAGACATGAGTATCACAGAAGAGACAATGGTTGAAATGTGCATCTGGTGCATCAAAATTAGAACCCTACATGATTTACATACTGTACAAATGAGATCTTATTCAAATAATATTATATTAAATTTTATATTTTCTCTTTTACTTTTTTTCAGCAAACTTCCCAGAGAGTGTGGTGGAGGAGTTACCCCCGGGGATGCCCCTGGGTGTTTACTACGGCTGGGGTAACGTGGACGACGGTGAAGTCTACAAGATGGTGCTATCAGTGGGGTGGAACCTGTACTACAAAAACACTAAAAAATCAATGGTGAGAAACACACTAAAATCATATACAAAAATGCCAAAAAATCAATGGTGAGAGAAATATGCTGACAATCTGTAGTAGAAAAACACTAACAAGTCAAACGTGAGAAAAACACTAAAAATTTTAATACAAAAACACAAAAAAAAATCAATGGTGTGAAAACACACTACCAATCATATACAAAAAACTAAAAAGTCAGAAAAACACCAACAAAGTCAAATGTGAGAAAAGCACTAAGAATTTAAATACAAAAGCACAAAAAAAAATCATTGGTGAGAAAATTTGCACTTTAAAGTTTATACAAAACACAGTAAGCAATGGAACTTCAAACACTAAGAATCAAACTTCTAGAACATTTATTAGTAGAAGAAAATACACACACGCTGTACACCAAAACTATCAAATTTTTCAATGTGAACTGCCATATGTTGTTTAATCTAATTATAAGATATTTTAAGATATTTTTCTTCCACTTCCAAAGATTAGATAAACTTATCTTGTAAATTAATGATGATTAGAATCAGTATGACTAACCTACAATTCATCTTGTAAACTTATGTTTTCCAACAAAAATTCAGATAAAATAAATTTATCATTTAAGGAGACCTACCTGATGCACACATTTAATGAAGATTTTTACGGGTCAAAGTTGAAGGTCATCATGCTGGGATATATACGACCGATGAAGGACTTTTCATCTCTTGGTGGGTAACGTCCCTTTAATTTGTTTTCATATGCTATTTAGTAAATACCACTTTTATGTTGGGTATTTTGAACAAAAAGCTGCTTTCTTTGGCTGCTATTAGTATAGGAATTAAAATGTCCCAGCTATTGCAGAAAAAATGCAAAACCTTTTACAGTTATATAATTTTTTTTTTCTGTAATAGCTGCTACCATATTGACATATAATGTTAATTTCTATGTTTTAGTAGGATTAAATGGATACTAGTTAAATTTTGTTTTATGGACAGTTCTATACATGTAATTTTGGATTATCTTTCCTTTGATGTACATGGCAAATATGTGCCATAAATTATTATTAATAATAATAAGACTTCTCCTGGGATTATCTAAGGGGAGGTGTACACAAGTACTATGATTTATTTATGGAGCTTAGAATGAAATTCTCAAGAATTTTATTTTCATTATTGCTTAAAAATTTGCAAACTAGGAATATTTTTTTCCATGCACAAAGTTTAGAGGAATTCAAAATAAAAATTTTCATCATTTGAAAATGTCTTACTGTAACAGTATCAAATCAATTTTTGTCATAAACATTAAGAACTTTTAAATTGTAACAGGGAGATTTTAGTAGCAAGATTCATGTCTTGGTGATAATTTTAAAACAGTCTGTTACAATTCCAGATGAGTTGATACAAGCCATAGAAAATGACATCTACATCGCAAAAGAGAAACTAGATCAGCCGGACAACCTTGTGTATAAAACAAACAATTTCTTCTCTCCATCTGGTTGTATACAGAACGGAAGTGTGGAAACAAGTGAACCAGTCAAAGAGGATGGTCCCAGCCAATCAAATACTTGATGATGGATTTTATTTAGGGATCAGCCTATATATATATATATATATATTTAAAAGACAACGAGAGAGAGAGAGAGAGTGATGAAAGAGAGAATAAGAGTTGATTTTTTTATCATTTGTACTTTTGCTTATTTCTGTAGGTGTTAATCAGTACATATTTAAATTAATTGTTTTTGCTTGTTAAAAGATTATATAATAATCTTGTCTATTTGTATACCGGTAGTCGTTATTTATTTACAGGTAAGTAATCATGGTAATTGTCCATTAAAACGAAAATTAGAAATGAGGTGACTGACACAGAAATTAATAAACCAGCTATAATCTACAGTGGTAAATACAGTGGTAAATACTGTAAATCAATAGTATACCGTATAAGTGGAAATTTTAGCGAGATGCAAATTTAGCGATTTCTCCTTAAAAACTGGTGTTTTATTTTTAGCGAGAAGTAATTTTAGTGATTTTAAAATGCTCACTAAAGAAGCTAGTACAAATAACACACAATTTATTTTTAGCGATATTAAATTTTAGCGATCTCAACAGCGTCGCTAATAATGCCAAAATTAAATCCTCGCTAAAATTTCTACTTATACGGTATTCAAGATACATGTAGCTGTATTTAAGATGTTGATGTCCAACTGTATATCTCTCACAGAATAGAAAGTTGGTAACTTAGGTGTATCAACCTTCTCCTTCTGATAACATTTAAATTTTTGTGTGGATTTTTAGAAAAAAATACATGTATAGTGTTTATTAAATCCCTATTACTTTATGATAATAAAATCGTATCAATTTTGCTTGAAAACATGATATATTGATATATGAGAGTGTTGAAACTACATGTATTTTGTGAAATCTCCTATTTTTCAAGTATATCTTTTATATAGCTTGCTAATATATTTTATTGTTGGCAATTATGCAGAGGGATTCACGGTATTACATTTTAATTAGGATGGAATCAGCCTTCATAGATTATACAAAGTCGAGAATCTTTTTGGCAGATATTCTAACAATCTGTGTTGCATATCATTTCTTTATGGTTTGTGATTGATAAGTTGTCAAACTTTTCCTTGTTTCTTGTAATCAATTGGAGAACCTCATTCCATACATGTTCACAACATGCATGGATTGCTGCATAATTGTTTAAAATAGAGGGTACAGCAACACGGGACTTAGTCTTGATCAAAGTATTTTTGTGTGTGATAATTGTTTAGAACTTACCATTCCCTTTCAATATGTCACCAGTCATTATACATGTAGGATCTGTGGTGTAGCGTTTCCCGTGGAATTCAACAAAATATTTAATATGTTCATATCTGCATTAATATTTATAATGTTTGGTTCTTAGTTCAGGCAGCATATACTACAAATATTGATTGTTTTTCATTGTTTTTCTTAATCTAATCTATGAGTAACTTACCTCTGGTGACATCAAGTTGAATTTCTAGCTACAAAATCAGCTGATTAACCTCAGATCTTACTTTTTAATGATTATACATTGTAAGCTGTGCTAAAATATTCAAGTGATTCATCTTTTGTTCTTTGAATTAGAAACTGTTTGTTTTCTTGTCTTATTAATGCATATACTGAAAATCACTTTTTATTCGCGAGAACTTTATTTTCGCGTAATTACGCGAGATAGTGTGCTCGCGAAAATTTCATTCTCCCATATAATTGCATTCCTTAAGATTACTGTAAATCACTTTTTATTCGCGAGAACTTTATTTTCGCGTAATTACACGAGATGGTATGCTCGCAAAAATTTCATTCTCACGTATAATAGAATTCCTTAAGATTATATAGAGCAATGACCACAATTCGTGAAAATTTTGTCTCGCTAATAAAGCGTAAATGACTATCTCGCGAAAATAGGGTGTCGCGAAAAATAAGTGATCTACAGGATATAGAGCAATAACCAGAATTCGTGAAAGTTTTGTCTTGCTAATCAATAGTCAATGATCTCGCAAAAAAAAGGTGTCGCAAATAAAAAGTGATCTACAGTATCGAAGTAATTTATTTTGAATAAGGTGACATTTTGTTTGTGTTACAAAGAGACAGAGTATGATGAAAGTTTTAATTGTTTTATAGGTATATTTACTAGCTGTCCACGTTAATGAACACTTAATTAAAAATGTTTGAAGAAAAATTTGCAGCCTTTGCCTGTATGTTATTTTTCTTAAAAATTCAACTAAAAAAGCTTGAAATTTTAATACATCTTTAAAACTTTGAAATGTATTTTAATATAAGGTTTGTTATTGTACTTTACTCTGAGTTGCTGTTTGATCTTTTGAAATATTAAAAATAAAAAAATAAACAGAAAAAATATATTCTTGCTGAAAATTGCAAATATATGTTATTGCTTCTTTCAAATCAAATTGAGAACAGTATTCAGGTCTTGGTGCAAGCTCTCAGTAATGTGAAATAAAACAGACCGTCACATGTAAATGTCTTTTTCAAGTAAAATTTCCAAATGTAGAATGTTAGGTCAGTTGTGTACTTGTTGAAGTCTTTGAAAAATCTGGTAACTTGTTGCACATAAGTGTTTTTTGTGCTGTTGGTAGAAAGATGCCATACTGCTTTTTGTTCTCCTTCATCAACAAGTCACGTGGGTATCATGTGAGATATGTAAGCCTACTTCCAGTTCAGATTGCGTTTAATCCCAGATTGAGCAGAAGTGAAATTTTATTGGAAACGATTATTAATTGATTTTGGATATCTGAACAATAACAGGGTTACAAAATCTTCCTGATGAGTTTGGAATTAGAGATTTTGACAAATTTGATGATTTTTATATTCATATGAAGCAGAATTTGTGCAAAATCTTATGCATGAGATGAAGAAAACAGTTACTGTGGCCTTTAACTCAACATTTAGATATATCGACGAACTGTTAATTAACAATGGTAATTTCCATTCCTATGTCGATACGATATACCCTGGTGAGCTTGAGATAAAAAACCAGAGTCTGACAAATTTGTTTCATACTTGGATATTTTTCTTGAAAAAAAAAACGACTTTAATGGTAATCAAACAATCAAGCTCTATGATAAACGCGATGACTAACTACTTCCCTTATTTATGCAGAAATATACCGTCATCACCTGCATATGGAGTTTATAAAAATTCAACTAAAAAAGCTTGAAATTTTAATACATCTTTAAAACTTTGAAATGTATTTTAATATAAGGTTTGTTATTGTACTTTACTCTGAGTTGCTGTTTGATCTTTTGAAATATTAAAAATAAAAAAATAAACAGAAAAAATATATTCTTGCTGAAAATTGCAAATATATGTTATTGCTTCTTTCAAATCAAATTGAGAACAGTATTCAGGTCTTGGTGCAAGCTCTCAGTAATGTGAAATAAAACAGACCGTCACATGTAAATGTCTTTTTCAAGTAAAATTTCCAAATGTAGAATGTTAGGTCAGTTGTGTACTTGTTGAAGTCTTTGAAAAATCTGGTAACTTGTTGCACATAAGTGTTTTTTGTGCTGTTGGTAGAAAGATGCCATACTGCTTTTTGTTCTCCTTCATCAACAAGTCACGTGGGTATCATGTGAGATATGTAAGCCTACTTCCAGTTCAGTATTGCGTTTAATCCCAGATTGAGCAGAAGTGAAATTTTATTGGAAACGATTATTAATTGATTTTGGATATCTGAACAATAACAGGGTTACAAAATCTTCCTGATGAGTTTGGAATTAGAGATTTTGACAAATTTGATGATTTTTATATTCATATGAAGCAGAATTTGTGCAAAATCTTATGCATGAGATGAAGAAAACAGTTACTGTGGCCTTTAACTCAACATTTAGATATATCGACGAACTGTTAATTAACAATGGTAATTTCCATTCCTATGTCGATACGATATACCCTGGTGAGCTTGAGATAAAAAACCAGAGTCTGACAAATTTGTTTCATACTTGGATATTTTTCTTGAAAAAAAAACGACTTTAATGGTAATCAAACAATCAAGCTCTATGATAAACGCGATGACTAACTACTTCCCTTATTTATGCAGAAATATACCGTCATCACCTGCATATGGAGTTTATATATTTCTGTTTATTCGATACGCAAGAGCATGCTCTATGTATGAACAATTTCTAAAGTGAAAATTATTGACAAGGTGATGAAACAAGAATATCAGCAGTCTCCTTTCAAAGTCATCATTTTGTAAGTTCTATGGTCGATACCATGTCCTTGTCAGTAAATACAATTTCTCATTGAGTCAAATGCTGACTGACGTTTTTTTTATACCAGTTGTTAGTGATTGAATTCATGACTGACTTTTCCGTTATTTCCCGATCATGACAAGGAGCCTACGGCGGATGTGACGGGTCGGCAGGCGATGCTCACCCCTCCATGGCACCCGATCCCACCTCTGGTGTTTTGGAGGTCCGTGTTCGCTCTGGTCTTATTTTCTATTGTTTTATGAACTTTTAGATTGAGTACTGTTCGTTATCTCAATTTCCTTCTCTGCTCCTATTTTGTATTGTTTTATGGACTTTGATATTGAATACTGTTCGTTAGCTCCATATCCTTCATTAGTGATGATTGTCCAAAATTTCAAATGTTGGATGTGCTGCTTGTCATGACATCATACTGGGGTCTTTACTATCTTAATAAAATTGCAGGAATTTAGCACAGAAATGAACCAAAGCCTTGACAAATAAAATGATATTGTTGAGATCTTAGCGATTCCGTATGAATATCTGATTCCTTATTGCAGCGCCACCTCAACCCAGGAGCAAAGGTTTTAATCAATTTTAACATGCTTTCAAAATGATATTTTATTTATTATAACCCTGCTTTTTCTTAAAAAAGAAGCTATGTGAACAAAAAACAACATATGCTTAAGATTGCTTCTCCATTTTACTCCTAAATATTTACATTTGCAAATGTTTTCCTTTATATAACACTACTAAAGGCAAGCGTTTTTATAACTGTATAAATACAGGTATGGGGTCAAGAGGTCGTAGATGTGCGTTTGGATAAACGTTCGACGTAATTTCTCTGTGACGTCATAAAGGGTCGACGCGCGTTTAGTGGATTACATACATGCCGTTGGGTTTGAAAAATTAAGGCATTTTACACGTTAAAAGTAACAATCGGGCAAATATAAAGTATGAATAAGGCACAACTGTAAATATAAGTAATAAGGTATCATTTTTGAGTTTTATTGAGATGTAAAACGGGTTGACACATGATCAAATCTTCCATAAAGCCCTTTATGGGATTTGATCACGTGACCAACCCGTTTTACAACTCAATAAAACTCAAAAAATGATACCCTATTTCTTAATTAAACAACTGAAATCATAGTTCCCATGTATAAATTTAGCAAATGCATTAAAAGAAGTAGCTTTTTGACATATTTATACTGAAATTTAATATCCATATCAAATAATGACTGTATATAATTAATGTACATGTAACTACATGAACTATTAAACAAAAAGTTTGTTAAAATAAACTTCAATATGAGTGAAAAATTCTCGAGCAAGATGTTAAACGGCGAACAAACAAAAATGACCTGTAAACAATGTCAGTTAATGTAAAAATTTAAATAAACTTTTTTTTTCACTAGGTTATCATACATATTTACGCTAAAAGTATCTGAATACTGGTATATAAATTCAAACAGAATATCGCCTCACATGTTTTTTTACCTCACTAAGCACTCTCTTGTACTCGGGTCCTTTACGTCTATCAAACCTGAATGTTCTCACCAGTTGCCATGTGTTCTCTCTAAAATAGACACGCCTCCTTTATTTAACGCAGAACTTAAATTTAAAAATGTCCCTCTGTAGAATCATGTTCATTGTACCTAACCCTGAAATTCACATCCGTCCCCGCCTCAAGGAGAATCCGTACCTTTTCTACCTTTAAATCTGTGTCTAAGTTCCTTTAAATGTCTTTTTCAAGTAAAATTTCCAAATGTATAACGTTAGGTCAGTTGTGTACTTGTCGAAGTCCTTAAAAAATCTGGTAACTTGTCGCACATCATGTGTTTTTTTTTTTTGTGCTGTTGGTAGAAAGATGCCATACTGCTTTTTGTTCTCCTTCATCACCAAGTCACGTTGGTATCACGTGAGATATGTAAGCCTACTTCCAGTTCAGTTGCGCGTTTATTCCCAGATTGAGCAGAAGTGAAATTTTATTAGAACCGATTATTAATTGATTTTTGGATATCGGAACAATGTCGCAGTTACAGAATCTTTCTGGTGAGTTTGGAATTAGTGCTTTTGACAAATTAGATTTTTATATTCATATGAAGCAGAATTTGTGCAAAATCTTATGCATGAGATGAAGAAAACACTTAATGTAGCCTTTAACTCAACATTTAGATATATGGACGGCGAATTGTTAATTAACACTGGTAATTTCCATTCCTATGTCGATACGATATATCTTGGTGAGCTTGAGATAAAAGATACCAAATAGTCTGACAAATTTGTTTCATATTTGATATTTTACTTGAAAAAAAAGACGTTAATGGTAATCAAACAACCAAGCTCTATGATAAACGTGATGACTAACTGCTTCCCTTATTTATGCAGAAATATAACATCATCACCTGCATATGGAGTTTATTTATTTCAGTTGATTCGATACGCAAGAGCATGCTCTATGTATGAACAATTTCTAAACCGAAAATAATTGACAAGTTGATGAAACAAGAATATCAACAGCTAGTCTCCTTCAAAGTCATAATTTCGTAAGTTCTATGGTCGATACAATGACCTTGTCAGCAAATACAATTTCTCATTGAGTCAAATGCTGACTGACGATTTTTTATACCAATTGTTAGTCTATTATTTATACACTGAATTCACGACTGATTTTTCCGTTATTTCCTGATCATGACAAGGAGCACACGGCGGGTTTGACAGGTCGGCAGGAGATGCTCACTCTTCCATGGCACCTGATCCCACCTCTGTTTTGGAGGAACGTGTTTGCTCTGCTCTTATTTTGTATTGTTTTATGAACTTTGAGACTGAATACTGTTCGTTATCTCAATTTACTTCTCTGCTGCTATTTTGTATTGTTTTATGGACTTTGATATTGAATACTGTTCCATATCCTTCATTGTTGATGGTCGTCCAAAATGTCAAATGTTTTGGTTTAGTACCAAAGGGAAGATCTTGTCAAAAGAAATACACATGTGAAATTCTTGTCAGTCTTAATGCTTAAGTCGGATGTGCTGCTTGTCATGACATCATACTGGGATCTTTACTATCTTAATAAAATTGCAGAAATTGAGTGCAGAAATGAACCAAAGCCTTGACAAATGAAATGATATTGTTGAGCCCTTAGCGATTCCATATGAATATCTGATTTCTTATTGCAGCGCCACATCAACCCAGGAGCAAAGGTTTCAATCAGTTTTAAAAATATTATTTCTGAACATGCTTTCAAAATGATATTTTATTTATTGTAACCCTGCTTTTTCTTAAAAGAAGCTATGTGAATATAAAACAATATAAGTTTTACGGGAACGTTTAGTTCGTCAATACTAATTCTGGTTCAACCGTGAGCTTTCCTCTTATTGTTGAACCCAGCTTCTCTTAAAACCTCAAGACAAAAACACGAGTTACAAATATTGTACTTTTATATAGAATCAGCATGGAATAAACTTCTTATGAGTTTGGGAACTATCAGCACCGAAGGTCTGATTCCAACTGACTATCATTTTCAACAACAAATCAAACATACTGAACAAAGAGCGAGTAAAATAAAAGGATTAACAAAAGGTATATAGAAATCAAGTATCAAACAATTATTGAGCGAATGGTGACATTTTAGCAGTATGTATATAATAGAATTAAAGATGAAAGAATAAGTGTCAATGTCAATTAAGGAATTAGCTGTCCAATCTCTGACTATGCCTCAGGTGGGATTAAGGCTGTGCGGAATTTATATAATTTATCACATTTGCCGAAATATATGAAAAGTTTTGACAACAATTTATACAAGGTCCGAAAAGTTAATTTACACAGTAATTTAAAATAAGTTCAAAAAATGTTGTATTTTACATCGTAACACTTGCTCCGCCTTCGCGTAAAACACGTCCTCGTGTTTTGATTTTTTTCTCTCTCAATAAAACCGGCCTCTTCTTGGTCTTCCGGATCCTTGACATCTCCGGGATTGACAACGGCTTTGATTTTCTAAAAGGACCGATTCTATGTGATCTCTGTCATCCTGCAATGTTTCGATGGTCTGCAGCAGGGCCTTGTTTTGGTTCCTTAACTCTTTGCTCGTTTTCTCACCTTCAGTCAGAATTTTCATTACATACTGGTTATGTTCTTTTCCGATCTCGTTTAATTTCCTCTGCATTAAGTTCATAATCACTTTATCACCATGGGCGTCTTCTTTCAGTTTTCGAAATTTCTCACGAAGTATGTTATCATTAGAATTCCTTGATTGTTCTTGCATCTCCTTTTTCATAGCCATATTTTGATTTTCAAGTTTTTCGATTTCACATTGTGCTTTTGATAATTTGATCGCCATATTTTTCTTCTCTTTATTTGACATGCATAGTTGGATTTTAACATTTTTCAGCTCAGTTCGTAAAGTAGACGATGTGTCGCAATATAATCGAAACTGGCTGTCTCTAACGGAATTAAATGGTAATTCTCGCAGAATTCGTTTGTTTTCGAGATACTTGCTCAGTCGTTTCATGTCTCGCGCTTTCCTTTTGCGTGGAATTACTGGTTCTTTGTGTTCGGGTTTTGGCGCTGCTTTCTTCATCTGTGTAAAACACATCCTCGAATAATGTCCAATTCTGTGACATTGGTAACACTTCTGGCTTAACGCAAAACATAAAACGTTAGGATGCACGTTTCCGCACCTTCCGCACACTGGATGCTGGCATGAAGGAAAGTTGAACTTTCTCTGTCTCCACTGCGGTCGGAAAGAATAATCCATTGCTGGTCCTAAAACGTCAGCTTCATCTGTCAAAATCTGGGGAAAACTAGCTGTGTAGCTCTTGTAGAGGTCCAGGATCTGACTACTACAAAGTATATGTAGCAGTCCCGGGTGTCGTTACCCTTAGGATTCTCGCACCAAGTTTTACGGGGACGTTTAGTTCGTCAATACTAATTCTGGTTCAACCGTGAGCTTTCCTCTTATTGTTGAACCCAGCTTCTCTTAAAACCTCAAGACAAAAACACGAGTTACAAATATTGTACTTTTATATAGAATCAGCATGGAATAAACTTCTTATGAGTTTGGGAACTATCAGCACCGAAGGTCTGATTCCAACTGACTATCATTTTCAACAACAAATCAAACATACTGAACAAAGAGCGAGTAAAATAAAAGGATTAACAAAAGGTATATAGAAATCAAGTATCAAACAATTATTGAGCGAATGGTGACATTTTAGCAGTATGTATATAATAGAATTAAAGATGAAAGAATAAGTGTCAATGTCAATTAAGGAATTAGCTGTCCAATCTCTGACTATGCCTCAGGTGGGATTAAGGCTGTGCGGAATTTATATAATTTATCACATTTGCCGAAATATATGAAAAGTTTTGACAACAATTTATACAAGGTCCGAAAAGTTAATTTACACAGTAATTTAAAATAAGTTCAAAAAATGTTGTATTTTACATCGTAACATATGTTTAAGATTGCTTTTCCATTTTACTTTTAATTAAAACAACTGAAATCATAGTTCCCATGTATAAACTTAGTAAATACATTAAAAGAAGTAGCTTTTTGAGATATTTATACTGAAATTTAAAATCCATAATTAAATAATGACTGCCTATAATTAATGTACATGTAACTATTTTACAAAAAGTTTGTTAATATTAACTTCAATATGAGTGAAAAATTCTCGAGCAAGATGTTAAACGGCAAACAAACAAAAATGACCTGTAAACTATGTCAGATGATGTAAAAATTTATAAACTTTTTTTCACTAGGCTATCATACATATCTACGCTAGAAGTACCTGAACACTACTATATAAATAAATTTATACAGAATATCGCCTCACAAGTTTCTTTACCTCACTTAGCACTCTCTTGTACTCAGGCCCTTTACGTCTATCAAACCTGAATGCTCTCACCAGTTGTCATGTTCTCTCTAAAATAGACACGCCTACTTTGTTTAACGCAGACCTCAACTTTAAAAATGGCCCTCTGTCTAACATAGAATCATGTTCATTGTACCTAACCCTGAAATTCACATCCGTCCCCGCCTCAAGGAGAATCCGTACCTTTTCTATTCGGTCATTAACATACCCTTCATCAACCAGTGTAAACAACAGAGGCTTTACATCTGACTCATCATTAAAATCACGATACACTTGTATCATCTGATTGGAATTCAAACCCAAATCTAAGAGATGTCTCAGTATACCACATTTACCATGTGTGATTGTTTTATACAAATCTCCCAATTTATTTATATGCCATACTCGTTGCCGTGTCACCACCACATCATTCTTACTATCAGTCACAACGGCGCCTTGCCTTATGTTTACCAGACACTCATACAGATGTAAGTTCAAATTAATCAACCGACATCTATCCTCAGTATTAAACAATTGTTTTAAAACATCAAATTGGCCCCTTACTAATGCAATACACAAAGCTGATAGACCATCTTCAGTACAAATAGTTGAGTCTGCCCCATAACTTTTTAGCATCAGTAGAGCAGGTTTGAGAGTATCTGTACTAAATAAAATAACCTTATATAAAAGAGTTCTTCCGAAACTGTCCTTTATATTAACAACAGCACCTGCCTCTAGCAAAATCTTCTTTACATTCATACGCCCACTTAAACATGCTGCTGTCAGAGGTGAATCATTTTCAACTTGTGGATTGACATCCGCTCCTGTCTCCAGCAGTATCTTGACTACATTTATATTTCCACCCCTACATGCTGCTACCAGAGGCGTCTTACTTTTATCTTGTAGATTTACATCAGCCTCCGCCAATAGCAGATCCTTAACTACACTTAGATGTCCACCCGTTCATGCTGCAGTCAGTGGGGTGATATATGTACCCTGTGGATTGACAGAAGCCCCTGATTCTAGCAGAATATTCACTATAGTCTTATATCCACATTTACACGCTGCTGTTAGGGGTGAACTATTTTCACCTTGAGGATTGACATCAGCTCCTGCCTTTAGCAGCTCATTTACAATACTAAGATGTCAAGCTTCACATGCTGCTGTCAATGGTGTTTCAAAAGCACCTGGTAGATTTATATCAGCCCCTGCCTGTAGCAGCTCCTTTACTACACCCATATATCCATTCTTACATCCTTCTGTCAATGGGGTATAATCCTCACCTTGTGGATTTACATTAGCCCCTGCCATTAGCAACTCTTTTACTATATCTATATGCCCACACTTGCATGCTTCTGTCAGAGGTGTATTTTCACCCTGTAGATTGACGTCAGCCCCTACCTGTAGCAAATCCTTCACTAGACTTAAATGTCCCTTCTTACATGCTGCTGTCAATGGTGTATAAAATAAACCTTTCAGATTAACATCAGCCCCTGCTTCTAGCAGCACCTTTACGACACTCATATGTCCCTCCTTACAGGCTTCTGTTAACGGTGTATCTTTATGATCTTGTAGATTGACATTAGCCCCTGCAACCAGCAACGCTTTCACTACATCTAAATGTCCACACTTACATGCTGTTCTGAGTGGTTGATTAGATAAACCATTGACATCAACCCCGACCTCTAACAAGTACTTCACAAGACTTAATTGTCCACTCTCACATGCTTCAGTCAACGGCGTGTTTAAGATACCTTGTACATTGACGTCAGCCCCCGCCTTTACCAGCTCCTTGACTACATTTATATGTCCACCGACACATGCTTCTGTCAGTGGTGTATCATTTGCACATTCTGGATTAACATTAGCCCCCGCATCTAGGAGCTGTTTAACAACACACAGATGCCCTTTTCTACATGCTGCTGTCAGCGGAATATCATATTTATCTTGTGGATTCACACAGGCTCCTGATTTTAGAAGTTCATTTACCACATTTGTATGACCACTCTCGGCTGCAGCTGTTAGTGGTGTTTTATACATACTTTGTGGATTAACATCAGCACCTGCTTCCAAAAGCACTTTCACGATACTGATTTCTCCTCTCTCTCATGCTGCTGCAAGTGGTATGTCATTCCATATTTCATCAAAGTGTGAATATTCATGTTCTCTGATGATTGTATCTAGATTGACGTATTTGATAAATATTTTAAAAGTCTCTAGATCCCCACTGTAACAACTCAATATGAGTAAGCGACGTTGTTCATAAACAGATTGATTTATTGAATCACTCCGTGGTTTCAGAGGACATAAATTGTCTGTTTCATTGTTTGCTGCAGTGATCTTCTCGCCTTTCTTTATTATATAGCTTAACTCAGGGTGAAAAGGATTCAAAAACACTTTAGATTGTGTATCTTTGTATCGTTCTGTTTGCTCAAAAATGTATTTTAAAATCTCACTGTGTCCGTAATAAACCACCCAACTGATCACCCTCACGCTGCTTGTTCGTTTTCGTAGTGGTGGTTGTCTCATATTTATCAACACCATCTGTCTGTGAAAATCATTCATTGTCTTATCCCTCTCTTCACGCTCGTTCCGTATTACACATTCACCTATCCTCACTACCTTAGACGCATCATTTTGCTCCAGCAGAAACAAAGATTTTAATTCTGTTAAAGCTTTGCACACCTTACTCTGTTTTAAAACATTATTAGTGAAAACATTAAACAGTTCCATATTTTCTACATCTTTGTATAAACGTTCTGCTAATAAGGAATACTGATCCTCTGTTAACCTTATACAGAGATCAAATGACTCCATGCCAGCTTTGCTTTTGCAACTGAATGCAACATCCTCTTCAACCTGTTCACAACTGCTTCTTAATGAATATTTCAGTAAATCTTGATTTTCATATTTCTGAAGTTTGACATAGTTAGCAATATAGCTACTGCTCATGAATTGTAAAATCAGTTCTGGAAACTGACAACCAAAATGATAGGCAACGATTTCAAACATAGAATCATGCACAAGGCTGTATTCAGTGTCACAGAGTTTTGTATATGTCCCTTTCATATGTGACAATGCATCAACAAATCTAAAATTATCAGTTTGCCTGCTAAGTTTGCATTTCAATAGAACATTATTTTTTATTTCATTAAAGTTTTGGAACACTGCTTTCTTTTCTATTTCTTCTGGGAATTTTTATGATATTTTGTTTTCATTCATCGTGCATAAAACCAGAGAAGCATAGTGGACTTTGTTTTGCTTTTTCATTTCTTCAAGTTCCTTCAAAATGCATGGCACTGGATTTTAAAAAAAATGCTGACCCATAAGACTGGAATTTCTTTTCTGATGAAAATAATTTGCACAGATAGGGAAACATTCTTGATACTGAAGTCAAACTTGGAGACAACAGATTTACATCTATGTTGTATCTTATCAACATGTTAGTTTTGTCAGTGTTAGTTAAAGCGAATTTTTCACTGTGTAACAGAACAATATTGCTTTCATCTGTAAAAAATGAACTGGACTCAATTGTTTTTCTATATACAGCTTCTCTACATGTAATGATAGTTTTTGACTTTGACATAACAGGTGTCATTATTCTATCTTGGTAATCATGCAAAAGGTTTAATTTTGTCTTTTCAAGTCCAAATACACCCACCACATCATCTATAACAAAAACCTGTGGATTATTGGGATCACAATAGTCCTCTATCTTTCTGATGTCTCTGTTTGGTACAATCTCATATCCTTCCTGTTGTAACATCAATGCGATGTGACGTGCTGTCGCTGTTTTTCCAGATCCTGGGACTCCTACAAATGTTACATGAGTCTGATTCTTCACTTTTTCCAGCATTTCCTGGAAATTGTATGACTCATAGTAAACTTTGTCGTCCTCTTTCCATTGTAATATATCAATCTCATGAATAGCTGCAGATAGAAATCATTTAAAAGAATGAAATTTATATTGAAATTTCCTTGAAACCTAAATTTCAAAATGTGCATTTATAAGTTAGACAATAAACAGAAACTGCACATTGTACATTTGTAGGTGAGATAAGATTAGAAATTGTGAATTATTTAATCTTTTTGAGGTTGAACGTGTATAACAGTAAAAAATCATTTGACCAGGACCAAATTCAAACTTGAGTTCTATCATCTGATAAAATAAGTGTATAAGCAATATCAACTTTATAGATACTTCCCTACAAACGCCACAGAGAGGAGACAGATTTTTCCTCTAAGCTTGAGGGATTACTCTGTCAAAAATCAACAGACCATGACTAAATTCGAATTTGACATGTGTATTAATATTTCGTATTCATATGTTAAATTTGAGTTGAATATGTGCATCTGTTGACAAGATAATGAATAGAGATTCAATGATGACAGAATGTTGAAACAGAGCCAACTATATATGCCTTGGTATTTCTAATTCTGAGGACCAAGATGCATCCACTGACAAAGTTTGATGATTCTTAGCCAATTCGTACCTGAAATATTTAGATATTGCCATAATAATCAAATGTAAGTCAGTGACTACTTTTTAATAACCCTTCAAAGAGCAAAGATGCATCCACTGACAAATTTTGCTGATTCTAAGTCGATCAATATAAGGACCTGGGATATTTAAACAAATTTAAAAGTCATAAAATTTCAAAAGTAGGTCTTGATGATCTACTTTGTGGTTGACATTCTCCAAAGATCCAAGATGCATCGTCCATTGTAGCTCCACTCTATCACCCCTACTAATGTTATTGTGATTTAAATTCAAGACACGTGGTTTAGGCTGATCTATTAAAACGTTATAGGGTACAACCGGTTTTATAAATAAAATTGGCAGTAAACAGGATATTGCTATAGCCTGTTTCTTTTGAAAACATGTCCTGTAATAAATGTTTCCAGACCTTTCTGAAAGACTTTCATGATTTTTAACAGGAAGGGGGTGGCTAAAGAAGGGGGTCTTAAAATAACAATATATCTGATACTTTTCGGCGAAAATAAGAGCTCACTGGTGACAGATTCACTGGTAAAAATGTGTTTTATCATCTACACTGACAAACCTTTGTTTGCCTTATATGGCTATTGTTATAAATGCGCACAGAGGATCTTTCCACGAGCAACTGACCAATTATTAGAATGAATAGCAACATTTACGCCAAATACATGTTTACATTTTACTTCGAACACGTGGTTCAGGTCAATCTATGATCATGTCAATGGAATACAAAATAATGAAGAAAAAAAATGTTAAAAATAAAATACAAAGATAAGAAATTATTCAAGATGTTACAGGCGTTTTTAAGTAATTGTTTACTGGAAAAATTGTTTAATAAAATGTTGTTTGTGTCTGGTTCAGAACACCAGAGCTTCAAGGGTAAGGAAAACGAGCAGCATCTCTTATGCATTTAAATGGACAAAACTTTGTTTACGTTCGTGATCACGTGTTTGGCCAGGGAATCCACCTGGCAATTGTATTCACCGATAGTACAACAAAGGAATTAACACAGAGGCAAATCGCTTTTGCACTATGACTCTCAGAAACCTAGACTTCCACCGTTTATTGAACAAATGAATTGTTTGCCATTATGAGCATGAAAATAATATTTTTAAAAATGTTTTTCGTTTACAACAAGATTTTCCTTTTTATTCAAGCGTAAAATTCGTGTAGTATTCGTAGTAACCCATAATAATACTCATTCAGCTGATTGGTCGGTTAAAATCATGCTGGTGCCTCATTTGTTAATATAACACCAAAAAATATAGTCCCGGTTCCCATGCAAAAATATTTTTCCAAAAAGAAATTTTAATTCATGACTGCAGAAAAATGTATTATAGAGAATACTTGTTTAAGTTTGAATGAATGCAAGAGAGATCGATTGATTGAAGTGTATTTCTACGGACATTATAAGTTGATTCTAGGGTGGTAAAAACTGAAACGAAACATAACTTTTCTGTTTACAATGCCTCCACGTGCTAGTCACTTCCTAGTCACATTTCCGTGAATAATTTACCCTATCTCGCTGAAGTCTCGCTAACTCTCGCCAGAGCCACTGCCAGAGCTACTCTGAACTCATCGGGTCTTATAATTTGCAGAACACCGAAAAATAAAAGGTTCCGAACACATTAGTAGGGGTGTCTATCCCGGGTCTCATTATTTGAACAACCTACGCGGGTATGTTAAGGAAGCATATAAGTCATTTCTCGGGAAAGAACGAGTGCACTTATGGGCCCCGGTAAAATGTGAAAAAATAAATAATCAAATTCAGCAAAAATTTTCATTTCAAATTATTAATTGATATTCAAATCATACGGTTCAATAATTTTTACCGATGAAATCCACGAATATACAAAGAACAAAACTATACAATGTGGTAGGGGTCAGCCGACATTGGCGATTTTCTATAGTAAATCGAGAACGGTAATTCATTTCAAAGCCTTTGTTAACTATGAGCCTAAAGTTGTGCAAACTTGTGCGAATGACAAAAGACGCATTTTACATTTATAAAACTTGTGTGAAAGTATGAAATTTGCACACGATTAGGCTCGTACTTAAAATATTGAAAATGTATAAAAAGTACAATGTTTTTCCTATAGGAAGTGAGAGCTATTTACCTGTATGACCCATGTTGAACCCACGTGTGGAATAAATTATTTAGAATACTGATAGTCACGTGAGTTCTACCCAGGTAAACATTCCTCAAAGGTGCTCACTGTATAACATAGGCAGGTTTTGTTTCAGTAAGTCAAAGCCCTGTCGCTCAGAGATGTTTATATAATAATTATATGTATTTGTTTTTAAGAACACGGGAGGGTAAAGACATTTTTGACCTTCATGCAAGACAATGAAACAGGTATTGAAAGCCACCTATACCACTCTTTTTCAATTTCATATTCAATGAAACTATTAATGTTATTTTTCAAATGCGAGAGTACCAATTTCTTAGTTTAATCATTTAGATACAGGCAACTACACAATTTCATTCCATATTTTTAAAAACAGGTTTGGCACAAGAAATATCATTTCGCAAACGCGCCCAACTATGATCCACCATCAGATTGTTCAAGTATTTATTAAGGTCTTCCGTTTCCAACGGAAGACCTTCTACTGATTCTGTTGGTAAAGATTATTATTCTTTTTTTTTCTTCTACTTCCTAGACACAAACTTTGAGGCCTCATATCTCACTTAATTATCAAATTTCGTTCAAATTTTCAGAGGTTATAGACGTTTATAAACTCTATCGGAATGATGACAAAAATTTCAAAGAGTCTCTTTCGGTTTTGAGTTATTCCCCTTTAAACAAAAAATCATAGGCTTTCGTTTCCGGATAAAGGCTCAGAGACCACTAGAGCTGGAGCAGAAATTTTACTTGTTTTAGATAACAGAAGGATTGAAGTTGTGCACATCGGTTTTTGTTTTTCGATTTCTGCATTCAAAATGGCGCTATATAGGGGTCAAAAATTAGAACGCATAAAAGAACGAAAATTTACAGATATTTTCCTTTTTATCTTGAAAACTAAAAATATTTTGTTAAGACATGTAGAATAAAAGTTGTGCATAATCACAAGTGCTTTCATTTGATATCATTAAAAAGGGGCTGGTCCCTAAAATTAGGGATCTAGGGCCCTTGAAAGTTTTTGTTTAATATCTCAAAAAGTATTGAGAATTTATAATACGTCAAATAAGCAAAGTTGTTCAAAATGTCAAGCCTAATCTAATGAGGTTGGAAAAATACGTCCGGAAACGTCACTTCCGGTCAAACCAGAAGTAATCAAAAATTGCATATTTTGTTATTTTTGACAGGTTTTTGGATATTATATGTCACTGGAAGCTTAAATCTTAATTTTCCGTCCGTTGACGGTACTTCCGGTCAAACCGGAAGTTGCCAAAATTAGCTTGATTTTGAAAAAATGAACATAGATTGTCAGGATTAAACCATTTTTCGACTTCATTACTCTTTTTTTCCAAATGAAAGTCACTTCCGGTCAAACAGGACGGACGACCTACTCGTTGCTTTGCAACGAGCTCGGCTCTAGTTTAAATATCTATTCCTTGATTTACATAAACGAAACTAAAAGAAGGTTCGGTACGACTTTTCCGGATTTATAGGGTATCCATAGGCCTTTCAAAATATTCAATTGTTTCAAATCCATGCTGATTCTATAGTGGCGCTTAACCTTTTTTTTTAAATTAGAAATATCCAATAGTATCTAACTATTACCAATAGAGAACCATATGGTAATATATTTTGAAGTAAAATGGCACATCAAAAGGGCCCAATAAGTAATGCTTAAGTGCACTTGTCCTTTAGACTTTTTTAAGAAACTTAAGTTTGATAAATTACCAAAACCGCTGATAAACGTAAACTGTTATTAACTATTGCAAACAGATAAAACAGTGTCTAACGCAAAGACATACACCACCGCTACGGCATCACGTGACTTCTATTAATAGCGAAATTTTCCTTAATAAAAAAGCTTACAGAACAACAATATCCCGGAGTTTTATACTTTCTTTGAGGAAATAATATATATAGTTGAAATTTATCTATTTTGCCTAACAAGTGCTGCTAGAATCCCATTGTCCTGTCAATAAAATAATTATTCAAAATATTCGCACGAAACCTTACCCTGTGTTTTGAATTTTATGCATATGAACCGAGATTTTTCGTAAAACAATGTTTAACTCGGGATTCTAGCAGCACTTTCCAAGTTTGTCAGAGGGCAAACTTTCCAATTGTACAAATCTTATGTTTTGAAACATCCAGCTTATTGTTATTGTTCTATCGCATTTTTTTTCGGGAATGACAGAGGAAAGGCCGACCGGGATACGTATATAGCTGACTGCCTTCGAAAGAGAATATAATCGATGAAAATAAATTAGCATACCTGTATGATTAACTGAACTCCAAATGAAATTTCACATAATATTCACGATATTTACTTTTAAACTCCATTTTACGTATCTTTGTACATGCCGTTTTAACCAAATTCTCTTTACACAACATGATCAATTCTCAAGTTACTTGATGTACACATATGACGTCATCGGTGGTAGATTTGAATCAAAATGACAGATACAGCATAACAAGATAAAATTTTTTTTTTGTAAATGTTAACTCGTTTCTAATCATTTACTAGCGTTAAATTACATATCTAAATACTAATATATTACGAAAACTTGTGTTCTAAAATTGACATCATATAGCCTAATATGACGTCATAATGTAGCACTGATTTAGTCAAGGTAAATATTTTGTATGCTTCCTTATCACCCCTGCGTAGAATCTACACTACCTGAGGATGATTCAATATAAATTTGTCTAGTCATAGCTCTAGAGAAGATCTTTGATTGTCCCTTATGGCCCTTCCCTTCCTCCTAGGGTACAATTTGAACAAAAAAAATTGAATCAACAACAAATGAGATTGATTCAAAATAAATTTGACCTTTCCTGATTGTGAGTATATTCTTATATAAAAACTTTGATCATCCATTGTGGCCCCAACCTACCTCTAGGGATTCTGATTTTTACAGACTGTTAGGTTCGCTACACGAGGATGCTTCCACATAAATATTATTCATCGTGAATTTGCTGTTCTTGAGAAGAAAAGTTTTGAAGATTTTCCTTTAATTCCAAAGTAAAACTTTTTAAATTAAAAATATCCCTTTTTTCAATAAATTAAAGTATTTCTCTATTCTAAATTTAATAAAGTATTTTTTTTATCACTGTTTTCATTTATTGATACAAAGTATATGTTTAGCTGAATAGCATTTCGTTACCTTCAACACGTTTGATTTACATTTATTTCAACCAGATCCACATATCTTTCACATTTGGGGGAACAGCTGCAGTTGATATATTATCTGAAAAGAATATAACTTTAAAACAAATCACACAAGTACAAAGAGATTTAATTACTGTTACTATGAGTAAATTCAAAAGTACTATCATCCTGAAAATTTGATTGCTTAATGTCAAACAGTAAAAAAGGAATAATACTGTAGAACATTAATTTTGTTAATTTTGGCCAAAACTCCTAGGCCCCTTGGGGGTAGTGTTCTAAATTTACTTAATTAAAAAAAATAGTATACTTACCAATAATTTTCAGCATTTTGTTTTGACTCTCAATTCGATCTGTATCTCTCTCTTCTAGTTTACCTGAAATTATGAAAAAAATTTAAAGAAAGAAGTAACTTGCAGAAATGGTTTGAATAGTTTTAAAAATATTCCTTATTGTTCAGGTTATGTTTTCAAATTTACGTTTAATTCCGTCCACTATTTCTCCTGTTGCTATATTTTCTTCAGCCTGGTTTCTCAGTTCTTCAAGGTAGTGATGGTCATTAACAGAGTCCATTTTCTCATGTCTCAAAAAATCCACCTCTTTTTCAAAATGATTTCCATTGTTAAGGAAAGAGTCAAGATCCACAACTGCTGATCTAACAGTGGACCAGATGGTGTTGAAATCAGCATTTGAAAGTATTGGGCTGGAAAGATACAAAAGCGATGCAAATCCTCTCGATGTTGGCAGAGAGAGACCTGTCCGTAGGATCTGGGTCATTGCCCCAACCATTATTGTGTGGTGGTATGCCACAGATGTTTTTAAGCAGTATGTTCAATAAAGGAATATCCATATCACTATAATTTCCAGCATAAGTACTACCACGAGGTAAAATTAGATTTAACTGTGGCTCTGTCAGACGAAGAAGATTACTTATCTTTTGTACAATGATATGTTGAAATGTCGACGGTGGTACATGATGACGTAAAATATCACGTCTGTGCATGGTCCCAAAAGAAATCGACACACTCTACACGCATTTGTTGTTTTTTCTGTAGACATGGTAGAATAGAATTGAATTCGCTCTATGCTTTTCTGAAAAAAAATAATTCAGAAAATAATACTTGAGCAATTATAAGTGATACAAGATTTGGTTGTGTAACACTGATGCCCCTTGCATGGCAACTTATTGCGAGGGTTGAATAATCTCAAATGCATACTTAGTATTAGACTTATATCAAACGCCATGAATAAAAGTGTCCCTATTCGTTCAAAGGTTATGACCAAGGATCAAGTTTTTGAAAACTGGGTCAAACTCTTTTAGGTCAAGGTCAAAATATTGATATCGGCTGAAATGAAAGCACGTGTGAAGGATGAAAGCCCTAGCTCCAACTGTTCAAAAGTTATGGCCAAGGAACACACCTGTGAAATATGTCAGCCATAGCCCCACCTACTCAATAATTATGAGCTATGTGAAAGTGGATGACAGACAGACAAACAGAGAAACAGATGGCATGATAAAAACTATATTTTCGGGATCTTTCGACCCTGGGCATAAAAATAAACTATTACAATTAAGATAATTAAGAATCTTGTTATTTTTTTAAATTGCAACATAAAAAAGATATGGCAAAATATGTATGGATCCATTGACTTTTTTTTTAATTTAATAAAAATTTTCAAATTGTTGCTTTTTTCTCAGGTCAATTATAACATATCTGTTTCAACAGCTGTACAGCTCTGCTGTTAACTATTGTTACAAGAACTGTGTTTGAACAAAAATATCCAGGAATGTATTAAATGTATACGTCTTAATCTTAAAAATCAAATCGCTAAAATGTTTGGTGGAAACTTGAATAAGACCATATGGTCAGATCAGATAAAGTTTTGTAGCGAATAAGTCTCTTTTTTGATAGTTTTTTAAAAATATTTTTAATGATTTTGATTATACTTTTTATCATTCTTTACTTATTAAAGCATTCATTTAATAATTATAATAAAAACATGTGCATAAATATCCTCAGTTACTAGTAGATGCTATAATGTTTTCGCGATCTACTTTGTTTTTATTCAGTGCTGTTTTATATTTTGGATATGAGTTAGAATCTTGAAATTTGTGTATCGAATTTTAAGAAAGTAGAATTAATCTAAAGCGGCGCACGTATTGACCTATTTCTGCGAGTCAAAGGTAGTCAAGGTCCTATCCTAGGCCCATATATTATTCATACAGACCTTGTCAAGTCAGGTTGTGTAAAAAGTCCCATGTATAAAATAAAACGTTGTCGTGTTTTCATTAAAATCTAATAGTGGCACAATAACGATAAAAAGCCATAACTGATTTCTTTAGTCATCCTGTGCATTTCTCACTGACTAAACTAGACCTGCACTCAACATACCACGTTTCGTGTCCGTACAGTAGTAAATATTATATTCCGTAACCATCAAGAATGGTTCCTTAGATAACTTCAGTGAAAAAAAACCTTGAATTTGGATGAAAAGTCAGATAAACACGCCAATCCTGCTTATATATCCAAAAGATAACACCAGGCAGTGGATGCATCACTTCCGCTTTATGCTATATATATGAGAGTGAAGTTTAGAGGCGGATCGATGAACCCTGTTCGCAAAAACATATTTCTCGTCTCTTAAAGCTTATATATTACCACTGATAATTGCTTTAAATTTTACAAGGAAATCAACTTTCAAGTTGAATTAAAAATCAATTTACTACATGTATTAGTTCATATGGATGAATTGAAAAATTATGACCGGCAAATTAGAAAAAAACTTTCGAAAAAAATCAACTTCAAGTGTCATTTATATTTTAATATACCAGCATATGCTATATAATTTCAAGTAACTATGATATACGCAAATGCATAAAAAAATCTTCTTTTTTTGGCTTTTTTTTATTGGAAAAGAAAATATTACTGCAGACTTTCATAGATATGTTTTCAAAAGAATGCATATTTTCAAAACACCACGTCTATCCGTGTAAGATTTATTGTTAGATGTTTGTATATCGTTTAAGCAGAATTTTTAGTGAGGATTTAATTTTGGCATTATCAGCGAGAGTGCCAATATTTCTAAACTTAATTGCATTTTCGTTGTAAAAGGTTCTTTAGTGAGCTTTTTCAAAACATTTAAATTACATGTCGCTAAATTAAAACATCAATTTTGTTTTAAGGACAAATTGCGAAATTTGCATCTCGCTGAAATTTCCACTTATACTGTCTTGAAATGACTTTTTATCAAATTACAAATTAAAATGTACTGTACTGTTTTATTCAATATCCATATAATATTTGTATTGTATACTGTAAAAATGAGTGGAACTGTGGGACTGAGGAACCCTTCACCAGGGTTTCACCCTAATTTTAGGTCATTGAGAGTCATCATTTTTGTATTAAGATATGTTGCAATGTTCTATTTTTGTAAAGTGATAAGTTGCATGCATTGCCCAAAGTTATATTTCGTATAAACTATATTACAAAATACCTCGTGCAAATTAAAGGAAAAACATAACAAATTCCTAGATTTAATTATTCTTATCCCTCACACAAGTATGCAGAAAGATTTTCTTTTCCAATGAAAATCTAATAAAAAAGTTAAAAATTTTTATGCATTGCTAATATTCCATTATGACTTGAATCTATAAAGAGTATGCTGGTATATTAAAAATGACCTTTGAAATTGATGGGTTTTTTTAAAGATATTTTTAATTTGCCTGACATAGTTTTTAACTTCATCCGTATGAGCTAATAGAAAATTGATTCTTATCTTGAAATAATACTTGTTTCCTGTATATATACAATATCATGTTCCTCCTGATATCATAAAAAAGTATATCATTGAGCAAATAAATTACAGATATAGCGTAAAAATATCATTTCTTGAGAGAAACAAAATGTTTTGCGAACAGAATTCATCGATCCGCACCTCAAATTCACTCTCACATATATTACGAGTCACAAAAGCGGAAGTGATGCATCCACAGGCTGATGTTATCTTGTGGAAATATATGCAGGATGGCTGTGTTTATCTGACTTTTCATCTATAAACAAGGGTTTTTTTTTTTTACCGAAGCTATCAAAAGAACCATTCTTTATTACAGAATACAATATTTACTACCTTACGGACCCCAGAGTGAATGTACAATGCGGAGTGCAGGTCTAGTTTAGAGAGGTAGTGATGCCTAAGGCTGTGAACATACATCTGTCCCTTTTTACCATTATTGTGACAGTGTTAGAAGATTTTAAATAAAAAAATAACAAATATTTCTTAATACATGGGACTTTTTACACTACCTGGCTTGACAAGGTTTGTATGAATAATATATTGGCCTACAATAGGGCCTGGACTACTTTTGGCTCATGCACAAATAGGTCAATATATGCGCCGCTTAAGATTAATTCTACTTTTTTAGAATTCTAAGTCATATCAAATACATAAAACAGCACTGAATAGAAGCAAGGTAATCAAGAAAATATCAGAAACTAACTTAAAATATGCACAAATTACTAATTTTATACTTAGAAAGACCATCCTCTACAAAGAAGAAATTTCAAGACATTTCTTATCACATATATTTATTTTCTACAATTCAACAATATCACCAGCTAGATAATTCGTCCAATATAAAATAAATATTTATGTTTGTTAATTAAAGGTGCATGTACTGCTCAGAAACATTAAAAAAATAATGCATGTGGAATTTTTTTTGATTGAAGGTACATACTGCACCTCGATTATGTTACTTAGTATTATTCATGCTATACATGTCGAAGTTATATTAGATTAATTACACATGCATTATTCTGATATTTAATTTAATTAGATTGAATTCAACTGAATTACGTTTTAAACTTAGTAAAAAATCTATTTTGAATAAATCATTAAACAAATTCATTAATAAAATTAAAAATCAAACACTTATTCAATACATTTTTTGAAATAGAATTAAATGATAAACCACAGACTTGTAACTATAGTTTTTCCTCCTTAGAGCCACTGTTGATGTTTTATGTGCCGAGAAAGACATCCTCTATACAAACTGAATAAACCCTTAGTCCCCCCTACTGCCACTTCTATTTTTATATACTTCATTGTTATTTCATGTCCTAACTTTCAGTTTACTTCTATGAACTTTAAGTATGTAGCAGTCATGTTTCCATGTAAGGGAGCGACCTTTTGATCTGACTTTGAGTTGGCAGATTTTGAAATACTCCAAGAAGATGCTGAAAATGAGACAATGGTGATCACAATGGAAAACACCTACCACTGAAACTCCCATCTCAGATTCAGATGGTCGTCCCCAAAATATTGTAAAAACATGTCTACATGCCTGAGGTTTTTTTTTGTAGGCTGTGGAATTCAGGTCATTGTGTATAGCAGGCGCGTTTCGTTGACGCATTTAACGACAATTCTAAAAGTTAAAAAACAAGATAATACATATTAAATATGGTCATTTTAAACGTGCGCTTATGTTAAAAGATGACATAAAATTATTGGTTTATCATTACATGTAACAACTGAATTTTGATGCAGGAACATCAATGCTATTTATAGAAAGAGATGTGCATTCAGGAATATTGGAAAACCCAACGTGCATTAACAAACCATGCATAATCTCTGTCAGAGATTATTTATTTTTTCCTGGTATTATATTTTTTAATAGTAGTTGAACATTACGGAAGCCCATCAGTGCCAATCAGAGCAGAGACTTTCTTCAATGTATAATGTAAAAAAAAAAATGAAAAAAACAGCAGTATATACTTTTAGTTTCTGTATATCACGACTTACTGATATGTATTGCAAAAAACATTTCAAACGAATATAATTAAAAATCTTATTTCATTGAAAAGTTATTGAAACTTTGAATTTTAGGGATGGGTTTGATTGACACATCCTTGCACTTTCAAAAATTTTAATTTTATTCTTAACACTCAGGAAAAGTGGCAATCTTGTTGTGTTTTAATGAAACATATTGTGACCAAAGCTTTGGTAAAGCAGTAAACAGGATATGTTCTTAAAACAAAATTGATCAAAATACATGTAAAGTCAATTAATACACAGCAATTATTTTATGTACATTATACTTATTTCATGGATATATTATTAGATGCTAAATTACGCAATTAAGGACATTATATTAAGTCAAGTTACAATTTCAGTTCACACAGTCTGATATGTGCATAGATGTATAAATGATTAAACACTATTAAACAAATACTGTCCTTTCTGACATATTTCATTTTATTTCATGACGTAAAATCCACTAAGAACATTGATGCATGTTAATAAATGAATAAGACAATTCTTATTAGTTTAGTCTATTGAAAACATTATTTACTCAGGTCGAAAAACAGGTGATTGGCGGGGTTGCACAAAAGTTATGGAGCATAAGAGATCTTCAATGCTTGGGAAATGATACAGCAGCTACTGTGACGTCAGGCACATCGCAGATGCAAGAAAACGTATATTTATGACTTGGTATACAATAGTAAATTTCTAAAACATTTAGGATTGATCTTTAACTTCAGTTAAAAATACAATACCCTAGTATGTCATTTTTTTTGTTTTATGTGTTAAATAGAAGCTACTTTCATACATAATTATTTTCCAGGGAAACATTAAATGAATGCCATGGCAGCTTCCCCTTACGCGTCCACAGAGGAGACGACAAATGCCTGCAGAGCCTGTCGACTTCTCCTGGGTCCATGTACAGATCAAATGAGGGATGTTTTAGTTCACCATATACCTCTGTCAGCTTTCACACACGTCATCAAACAAAAAAGAAGTCATCTTCCGCGTCTCACAGCTCCACAACTAAATTTAATATTACCTAGAGGCAGTACCTATATTGGAAACTACAATGATATGGACATTCCTTTATTGTACATATTACTCAGAAACATTTGTAGCATATCAGCACACAGCAATGGCTGGGGAAATGATCCTGATCCTACAGACCGATCTCTCTCTGCCAACATTGAGAGGATTCGTATTGCAAGAAATCAGTGTGTTCATTCTTCTAGTCCAGTCCTCTCTAATGCTGTATTCAACACCATCTGGTCTACTGTTAGATCAGCTGTTGTAGACATTGATTCTTTTTTAAACAACGGTAATCAGTACGAAAGAGAGGTTGACTTTTTGAGACATGAGACAATGGACCCTGTCCGTGACCTTCATTTCATTGAAGAACTGAGAAAACAGGCTGAAAAGGATGAGGAAACTAAGAAAATTGTTCATGGCCTTAAGCGTAAATATTGATTATTTTATTAAAGAAAGGGATTTTCATTATTACTATTAAATACTTTTCTATAGATATTGCTCAGAAAAATTGCCGAAGAAATTTATGGTGTTAATTTTTTTCCAGGTAAAGTGGAAGAAATTGATTCAGATCAAATTGAGAATAGAAATAAAATGCTGAAAATTGATGGTAAGCATCACATCAAGTTATATATTTTTAACAATGATTTTACATTTTTGTTCAAACAATCAGAAAAAGAAAAGAAGAAAAATTAGGAAAAATCAGTAAGGATCATTTACATTGTATCAGGGATATAACTAAAATCAAAGAGTTAAAACTCATTATTCTCTATTCTAAAGTAAATGCCGACTTAAATAAAACCTTGCGTTCTCCAATAAAGCAGAACGTCATCGAAAGATTATCAAATCAGAAAGCATAAAAATTGTAAAGGAAAATTAGATAAAAATGTGCCTTGAGAATGTAAAACATTCTTTTACTATATCGTTGTCTTGTCTAAAATCTACTTGATGTGTATTGCCTAAAACACCTGACAAAACACCTGACAAACGTCTGATTTTATGGCTCGTGCTATGTTTCACGAAAATGTTTCTCATGCAGACACGGAGTTATCCTTCAACATCAAAGAAAACAGGAATTTTATCTCTTAAATAATTACAAAGACCATTAACAATATATTAATACATTTAGATAGGTTACCTCCCATCGTTTTGATATGGAATTCGAAAATGCCTCTTTTTATAGTACCCAATTGTAAACACCACAATGTTTTCATGAATTTATTAATTATAAATTGTTCATTCTCCGATTCCTAATTCCCGGAAATTCTTTGTTTGTATCAATGAATGCTGCAAAGCATTGAAGTTGAAGATTTTGCCACACAATTATGGACTCTTTCGGTAGTGAATATATTTTATTATTCACAAGAAAAATATCAATATTGACCGAGGCGATAAACAAACCAAATTTACCATCAAATTGCCATTAATTTTTTTATTATACAGTCAGGGTTTGAATACCGTAGAAGAAGAAATTTTAGCGTGGATTCAATTTTGGCATTATTAGCGAAGGAGTTGGAATCGTTAACATTGAATATTGCTTAAATCAATTTTTGTGTTATTTGTACTAGCTTCTTAAGTGAGCATTTTAAAATCGCTAAAATTACTCGCTAAAAATAAAAAAACAGTTTTAAGGAGAAATCGCTAAATTTGCGTCTCGCTAAAATTTTCACTTTTACGGTAAATAAGACTTTGAAGGCTGCAGGAGATTCATGTTCAATAATGAACTTCTGTCGCAGAATTTTTTTTAATGAAAAGGCCCAGAATATAACCTACAAGCTCCTTGTTTTCCTTTCGCTGCGTGTACGACACATGATGGGATATTAATCCTGAAGTAGACTCTCCAATCATTATCAACGTTGTTTGATGTATTGATAATCACTTCACAATGCCGATGCATGTGCACTGACCTTCCAGTGAATACGGCTTCCAATCCAGTTAATATGTAGTACTATGAACTGTTTACATTTGTATATTTGAATATAGGGACTATTTATAGACTTTATCGTTAAATATCTTGATGCATGTTAGTCTTGACATTCAAAAAAAAAGAAACACGAACTTTGTTATCTATTATCATGATTAGCTGGTGCAATTATCACTAGCATTCCCCCATCCGCCGATAATAAACAATTAAAATTCTAGGAAAAATTGAGAGAATGTTCATAATATCTTGGATAGAAATCAATAAACAGCATTCAATTTATATCTTTTGAAAGTTTTGTCACTGAAAACTGTGTCTTTCTTTTTCTCCCAGATGAAGTATCAAAGCTGAAATATGCTGTTATTCCTTTAAATGTGAAAGGTGAGTTTTTAAAAAGACCTTTGATTACTACATCATGCAGTAATTACTTATATTATATGATTGAATATTTTCCATCTCTCTGATTGGCCGAGATCCAACTATGTTAGAAAAATATGACGTTGTATTGAATTGCACGTGACGTTCCAGGTCAATACAAGGATTTATTTCCTCTACATTGATTTAAAAATAGATTCGGAAATTCCGAATTGATATAAATTGTTTTAGAAAGATATTTAAAAGACTATGATTATTATTTTTATGTGAACAAAACATAAGTGAAATTATATTCTAGGTGATAGTGGTAATAGAGGATGCAGGGACCCCCCCCCCCCCTTCCAACACATTTACTGAACATTTTTAAAAAACTTTTTGGCAGTCAGTTTTCCCTGATAATACTCCTTCCTTTCAAAATCTATCCGATAAAAAAGACTGACATTATATATTTCTTTAATGGCAACTAAAGTTGATTATAAAAAAACATTTCAAATTGATACGACTGGTAAGGTTAATTCATATTTTAATTCTGCTTGTCTTTTGTATTTGGCTAGGACTTAATAAAATGCAAAAAAGTAATGAGCTGTATCATTTTATCAGTGAATCATATAATAAAACAATTATTGCTGTTTTTTGAGGTCAATACAATAATTTAGCAATCTGAGGAGTAAAATATTCACCTCGCCCTTCGGGCTCGGTGAATATTGTACTTCGAAGATAGCTACATCATTGTATTGACCTCAAAAACCAGCAATAACTGTATAATATTCCAATTTGTATTAGATTTGTCTTGCAAAACAGCACAATCTTTAAGAGGGGTGTACAAGCCATATATTGGATCTATTCTGGTGTAAAATAAGAAATACAAAGAATGCACTTAATACTCTACGAAACTAGTTCAAAGTTTCTCAAAGTGTTAATGCACTCATTGCCTACTGTTAGAGACCAAAATTAGTAAATAGTTAAGTTTATTTTGTTTTAATTACGAGAAAATTTATCATGTTAGGACTGCACACAACAGCATTCACGAGGTTAAAAATGCATTGAAACTGATGTCAGTTGGATTCATTGATAATTTTGTTACAAACATTTGTTTTGCTTTTTTTTCTTATCCTTTTCCATCATTCTTAAAAATTTGAATTTTCATATGGTGGTCTTCCTGAGGCTATGTGTTCAATTCTTCCGCCATCCCTCTGTCACACAGAGTTCAAATAACATTGATTTTAGAATAAATGCGACCATGACAACATTCAGACAAGAAATTATTAAGTATTAATTTTAGGTTATATAACTTACAACTTTTATTTGTTGCATCGCATCGTCGGATTAATGAAAAACGCGATATTAACACCACTCCAGCAAATCGGTAAAAACTGCTCTGTTTATCGCCCGAGTTTCCTCGTTCATATCTTCCACTGAGCACGTGTTTAGCATGTGCATATATCTTCTGTGGGTAGATGCGTTTTTTGCAATGATTTTATTTAATTTTCAATGGAACAAGTCTTGATGATTTGTTGATACCTTTAAAATTCAAGAATAAAAAAAATGTCCTAAACATATGTGTTTACGTCGGGTCTCTCCGCTGTGGCGATAGAAGTTATTTATCAAATGGGGTTCTGTTTAAAATTAAAAGGGACCCAATATATTTTTCCTATATTGGAAGCTAGCGCGCTTCATGAAATATGCCGGCGTGAAACGTTGTAGTTCATGTCCTCATGAATTCTCAAAATTAAAATTCATCTCTTAAATTACGTCAGAGGATGGCAAAACTTCACTGCAAAATGTGACTACAATACCATTCCAACCCCCATGTTATACCAAATGGAAGTGTCTTGATGTAACAGCTACACAAAAAGTTGTATCTACATTTCCTGACAAGTTCTTAGCAGATGATATATTTTTTTTTAAAATGCACAAAACATAAATACATTTAACTTTTAAAAAAAAAATAAACATTGACCCGGAATATCTTATGTTTATAGAATATTTAAGGATATTTTTTATTACGTCAAGAGGAGCTTGGTACTTAATTCGAAAAATTAAAAATGACAATATTTAGTAAATATCAGGATAAATACTAGCATACACTCTCTTCCATTTGTAGCTATTCATGAGAACGATGTCTTACACTGGAAAAAAGATGATCAAGTTTTCCATGAATCTCACAATTTCCCTGCTATGCTAGAAAAGGTGAAAACAAATTCTCATGTGACGTTTGTTGGTGTTCCTGGATCCGGGAAAACAGCAACAGCTCGTCACATCGCCCTGATGTTACAACAGGAAGGATATGAGATTGTACCAATCAAAGATATCAGGAAGATAGAGGATTACTGTGATCCTAACAATCCACAGGTTTTTGTTATTGATGATGTGGTAGGTGTCTTTGGACTTCAAGAAATAAAATTGACCATTTTGTCTGATTACAAAGAAAAAGTTGTGACACCTATCATCCCAAATACAAAAACTCTTATGACATGTAGAGAAGCAGTGTATAGAAAAGCAGTTGAGTCAGGTTCATTTTTTACAGAGGAAAGCAATGTTATTCTGTTACATAGCAACGCTTATGCATTAACTAATACTGACAAACAAAATATTCTGAAAATGTTCAACATAGATATAAATCTTATGTCTCCTGAAAACCTGACATCAGCATCAAAAATGTTTCCTTATCTGTGCAAACTGTTTTCAATGGATAAGAAATTTCAGTTGTATGGGTCTTTATTTTTTGAAAATCCAGTTCCTTGCATTTTGAAGGAACTAGACGAAATGAAAAAACAGAACAAAATACATTATGTATCCTTGGTTTTATGCATGCTGAATAAAAACCAAATACCAGAAAAAATCCAAGGAAAAGAAGGAAAAAAGGAAAATATTATTAAAAACTTCAATGAATTAAAACAGAGTGTTTTATGGAAATGCAAAGTCAGCAGTCACACTGATAATTTTGAATTCGTTGATGCTTTGTCAGAAATGGAAGGGACATACACAAAAATTAGTGGTACTGTATATAGCTTTGTTCATGATTCCATGTTCGAAATTGTTGCCTATCATTTTGGTTCTCAGTTTCCAGATCTCATTTTACAGTTTATGAGTAGTAGTTATATTGCTAACTCTGTGAAACCTGATATCCTTCAAAAGCAAAAGTTAGACAATGGAAATAGACAAAGTGGTGAGAATTTTACGATTAGTAGTGAAATCAGACAAGAGGAAGGTAATATTACAGTCAGTGGTGAAAGTAAACTAGTTAGCGGAGAAAGCAGTGATGGCATGGATTTATTTGATCTCTGTATATGGTTAAAGGAGGATCATTATTCTATGTTTGCTGAACGTTTGTACAGAGATATAGAAAGTATGGAACTGCATGATGTCTTCATGAATGATAGTCTAAAACATCCAAAAGTGTGTCAGGCCTTTATTCAGGTCCTGATGACTAAATCCTACAACGAAATTAAGTCTTTATTTCTGTCAGAGCATAAAGACGTGTCTGAGATAGAAAGTAAAGGAGTACGGTTGGTCAATGAGAGGAAGGATATAAGTAAACAGAAAGTGCTGCTGAATTACAAATGGAGACTAGAGCATACATTCAGTGTAAGGGTTATCAGTTGGGTTGTTTTCTATGGACACAATCAGATTCTACAGTATATTGTTGATCAAACTGAGTTACACAAAGAAACACAGTCAAAATTATTTCAAACGTGTTTAAAAAATGAAGTGAGCTCTTCCTCGAAACAGAGGAGAAAGAACGTCACTGCAAATAAAGAAATAGACAGATATAGAACAGATTGGAAAAAAACTGAAACTTCTGAAGAACACCGCTTTCTTGTACTTAGTTGTTACAGCGGTGATTTAGAGACAGTTCGAAAAATGCTGAAATGTGTCACTAGAAATGCAATCAATGAGGCATTGCCAAAAGTAGAGGAGGATGATGATGATGATGATGATGATGATGATGATGATGATGATGATGATAATACTGTCAATATTTTGTGGTTTGATACACCACTGAGAGCAGCTTGTGAAGGTGGACATTTAGATATAGTAAAAGAACTGATAAAGGCTGGAGCTGATGTCGATCTATTAGGTTATAAAGATACACCACTTACAGCAGCATGTTCAAATGGACATATAAATGTAGTGAAGGAGTTGCTAAAGGCGGGGGCAAATGTTAATCTACGTGTTAAACATGATTTGCATTTGTTGGACACACCCCTGACGTCTGCATGTGAATCTGGACATATAAATGTAGTAAAAGAATTGATAAAAGGAGGGGCTAATGTCAATCTGGTAGGTGCATTATCCCTGCCAATTACAAAAGCAAGTGTAAATGGGCATTTGAATGTAGTAATGGAGCTGATAAAAGAGGGAGCAATTGTTAATACACGCTACTATGAAAATCCACTTTATGGTGCATGTAGGTGTGGTCATACAAAAATAGCGAAGCAATTACTACGGGCTGGAGCTATTGTTAATCAACAAGGTGTATTACAGACACCACTGACAATAGCATGTGCGCGTGGATATACGAGCACAGTGAAGGAGCTGATTAAGGCAGGGGCTGATGTAAATCTGCGGAGTGAGTTTACTACACCATTGACAGCAGCATGTACGGGTGGATATATGAGTATTGTGAAGGAACTACTATATGCTGGGGCTTATGTAAATATACAAGGTGATTCTAATACACCACTAACAGCAGCATGTGAGGGTGGATATATGAGTATTGTGAAGGAACTACTAAATGTTTGGGCTTGTGTAAATCTACAAGGTGAATATCATACACCACTAACAGCAGCATGTGAGGGTGGTTACATACAGATTGTGAAGGAGCTGATGAAGGCAGGTGCTGATGTTAATCGACAAGGAAAGTATGGCACACCACTAATAAATGCTTGCAGTGGTGGACATATAAATGTTGTCAAAGAGCTGCTAGAGGCGGGTAGTGATGTCAATATACAAAGAATGAGTGATTTCAATATACAAGGAATGCATAAAACAGCATTGACAGCGGCATGTTATAATGGAAAAATGAGTATCGTGAAAGCACTTCTAGAGGCGGGCGCTGATGTCAATCTTAAAGATAAAAGAAGTACACCACTGATAGAAGCATGTCTTGGTTGGAATATTGACGTAGTAAAGGTGCTGATAAATGCAGGGGCTGATGTTAATTTACAAGGTAAATCTTTAACACCACTTACAGCAGCATGTCGATATGAGAGAATACTAGTAGTAAAGGAATTGGTAAAGTCAGGAGCTGATGTTAATTTACAAGATGGAGAAGATAGTCCACTGACAGCAGCATGTAATTATTCTTATTTGAGGTGTTCAGAGGAGCAGGATGATGTCGATGTACTTAATGGAAGTAATACACCTTTGGCGGACATATATAATGAAAAACATGTTATTGTGCTAAAAGAGCTGCTAGAGGCAGGGGCTAATGTTAATATTCAGGATTGGAAGGGAAGAACTCCTTTGTATATAGTAGTTTTAAGATATGATAGGACTCTTATACCTGTTTTAAAAATGCTGACAAATTATGGTGCAGACGCAACTATTTGTAATGATGAGGGTCTGTCACCAATATATATTACCTTACTTAGAAATGAATCTTATATTTTAAAACAATTACTTCAAACTGGATGTGAAGGACAGTTAAATAGTCACAAGATACATCTGTTTAACTGTCTGGTAAACATAAGGCATAGCGACGTAATGACAAATAAAAAGGATGATGTGGTGACACGGAATCGAGTGTGGTGTATAGAGGAATCGGGAGATTCGCATAAAACAATCATAGATAGAAAATGCAACATACTTAAAAATCTTATAAGTCTGGGTCTGGATGTCAATCAGCGGATACTGCTTGAGAAGGATTATTATGAGTATGATGAGAGGCCTTTGTTGTTTTTACTAATTGATGAGAATTCTGTTGAGGACAGGAAGGAAAAGGTGGGGATCCTCTTGAAGGCAGGAGTAGATGTCAATATCAGAGTACAGTACAGTGATTATGACGATGAAGAAAATGATAATTATAATGATAGTTTAGATTTGAGATTTCAGTTAGAGAAAGATTGTGTGTCTGTTTTAGAAAGGACACGACAATTGCTGAGAAAGTGTAGAAAAAGGAAGGATTGGTGTAGAAGTGATGAAAGGCCAACGTTAAAGAAATTGCTGAGTAAATTAAAGAAACACGTTCGACGATACTCTATATAAAGAAATACAAATATTTTAAAAATGGTTGCTATGTGAATAGGAATATCATAGTGAAATAAGTGTATTTCTGACATGTCACAATTTTACAGTTTTCTTTCTTTTTTTTTCAATTTGATGTAAGTATTATCCTCGGTTCTTGGAATAAAGACGGAGATATGAATGTTTCATTACCACTTACCATTAATTTACATAAAGCATGAAATGTAAACGTATATGCAAATCTCATTCCCTTCTATATAAACAAAATGATGTATAAATATAATCAGTATTTGGAATTTCTTGGTAACATTTTGCACAAAATTAAAAATTAACTGTGTTAATGAATTCTAGGTAGGCCCTTTCTTAATGTATATTACTCTTTCTTATCAAATGTCTTCATTAATACACACTTAAGTACATACTGGTGAAGTAGTATCAGCCTATTTGAATACCTTCAAGTTGGTAGAAAGTATACCTTGACCTAGATTAAAAATATGTGATCTTTCTTCTTTCTCTTCCTTTTAGATAGATAAATATCTTTGTAAACTTATACATCAAGTTTTAGTTTTCTTGATGTTATATAAATTCATTGTATTGACTTCATAATATAAGGTAATCGTAAAATATTTAAGAAAGGTTATTATTTTACATAATGTTGTTGACTGACTGTTGTACTATTTATCATTTTCTGTATTATTTTCTGATGCTTGAAATACGCCAATGTATAGGAAGATTAAATAGATTAATATGTTTCAAATGTATATGTATTACTCGCTTCTTCAAGAGAGTACTTTTAAGTTATTTAAATCTACAATATTTTAACAGAAATGTCATGAGAATGAGAATACTGACAGACTTCAATTGTATACTTTCGAATTAATGCACTGCCTTTGCTTTGGTCAAAGTATCACAATACAACCTCAGTTATGCGACTGTCTACAAAAGTATGCTTTTTCAAGCCTTTTGATTCTCACAGATTGATAACTGATATTTATAGATGTTCATTGTTTTCAGATATACATGTATGTAATGTTTGACAAACAGAGAAAATTGGCTTTAAAAGATAATCTATAAAAGATATTTATTGACATTTTCTTTCAAACGATATTTCTAATCCTAGACATATATGATAAACTTAATCTCTATGAATTAATTAATTTTGATCTCCTCTATTTTAGAAAATTGCTGCAATTGAGGAAAAACATTCAGATCAGGCTCCCCCTCTCTTACAGTCATGACCTGTCCCAAATTTCAGCACTCTTGAATACTTAGTAAATCATTGTTTGCTTTGTTAGATATTCTTTTATTTTAAAACAGATATAACCTATAAAATTGATATAAGAAGACCAAATTCATTTGAGCTTAAGGATGCTTTAGAATGGTTCCTAGACCCTACTCCTGTTGGGTCAGGTCTTCAGAAACCCTGGATCAGTCATCGCTACATTGTTAACTATAATCCGCCATCAATTAAAAACGTACAACACACTGGGGGAGATAACTCTTGCGATTTCAATTGAACGTTTGAAGTGACGTCAAATTTAACGTCAAAAATAAAGCGTCAAAAAGACAAGTAAAACGATCCCGATGTATATCAATCATAAAAGTAAAATCGGATGTGGGGCTTGGCTGTGATTATGATTATACTCAATCCATACGTATTTATTTAATTAACCCGATCAAACTACGTAAAAGCAACTTTGAGACATAAAATACCATCCCTTAATGTTTTTTTTTTTAATTTCATATACAATAAATTGTATTCTTGATCAAATCGCAGCATTTTTTAATCTGAAAATGTTATTTCACATTGCAGAAATTATGTACAATTGGCTATATAACATTCCGATTAATGGTCTTTATTATTATTATTTGTGCTTTTACGATTTGAATATTATTTTTCTTTTCTAATTAAATAAGACAACAATAAACAAACAAAAAACGTTTTACAATGTAAAATCGACGTTGATCTCAGACCGTTAATGATCAAAGAGGAACAACTCTAAAAATGTAGGAGATGTATATTTTTCTCCCTTTATTCACGGTTTTCCACAGAATCAGATACATTTACAGCAAGACCTGATAAATCTGAGAATTGAATACTATAGACCTCATACGCAAAATGTATGTATACAATTGAAAGGAAGTGTTTACTAATACTGAAATTATCTGAATTTATGAATATCCTATCGCAGCAAATCGTTTGACTTTCTGTCACTGTCAACAATGTTGGTTCGCATTTCTATCATAATCGGGTCAACCTCATTCTGGACTCCAGTCTTAATTTTTGTTATTTCCCAACCAGCGAAGGTTAAGGAAGGCAGAGTCCCCAACGACATTGGGCCGATCACGCATGTGATTGTTATCCACCAAGATCTTATTAAATTCCGCAGTGAGAGGTAAACCAACTGATCAACTCTTTTACTCCTCTGTTGACCAGTGACCAATTATTTACGAAAGCTTTTATTTCACCCCTCTTGGAAACTGGTTTGCCTGTATAAATACAACAGAGAAGACACAACTCGTCGGAATTTCTTTTATTTTTACAATCTATTTTATATTCTAAACAACTTCATTCAAAACAATAAATAGTACAAGAAATATTGAACATTATAAAATATCTTTTCCTGTTAAGAAAATGAGTTAACTGAAGCTTAACAATCTGAAACTTAACTTTTATTAAAATTATTTAGGAAAGTTTGTAAAAATATCTTACCTGTATAAATACAACAGAGAAGACACAACCCGTCGGAATTTCTTGACGAAAAATCTTTCCCTGTCGCAATTATACTACTCATGTGTAAGAGCTCCGCTCTGACCATATTTGTTATTTTATCAAAATTTTCAACTACAAACATCAATTTGCGACTTGAATTTTTACTTACATTTCTGTACCTTTTTATCCTTTTGACTTTTGAAATACAAATTAAAATTCATATTAAACTTCTTGCAAAATCTTTACTTTTTATCATTATGTTGATACATGTAATTTATTCCAATTGTTGACCTTTCGCCTGTTACGTAGGATTGGCTGTCCCTTTCCCTATGCCCAAAAATGACCTGACGAAATCAAGTTTCATCACACTCATGCAACCACTCTCACTGAATTTAAAAACTAATGTATACCTCCAGAATTCAAATGACGAAATACTAGTATATTTGGACCGTAAACGACGTTTCGTCAAACGCTAATGGTCTGCGCCGCAAAAAAAGAAGGGTTGGGGGAGGTAGGGGTATTTAAAAATTGCCAAAAAATCTACATTTAAGTACGATTTACATACGAGAACTTTTAAATATGTAGGTTAATATTTTTTTAAGCAAAAGCAATATTCCAATTTGATTTTTTAAAATGTGTATTTGTAGATTCATAGCAAAGTGATTGACCCTGATCTGAAAGACGCGCGGGAACATGATTTATTGAGAAAGGGGGAAGGGGTAATTTTCCGCTATTAAATCAAAACTGGTCGCACAAAAATTATACAAAAAATTATGAAGATTATTTTTACTACCAGCTACCTCAGAAAAAATTTTTACCAAAATTAAATGACAGGTTTTTTAACCAAAAAAATTTAATTGAAAATACACTATTTTCAAGGCTTAGATAATTCATAGTTTTTTCAGTTTAAGGTCTTTAAAAATTGTTTTGATGATATGTATATCAAAAAGATGACTATGTTTTTGTGTTTAATGTTTAAAGGAATAAGTCATTGAAATTTGACAGTAATACATGTATCTAACCTGGCTTTTTGAAAATCAAGGTTTAAGTTGTTCATTGATTGAAAATTTTCTCTCCTTGTAAACGACTTAAGTGGGTAACTTTTGGAATTTCCTGTCTAAAAACCACTCGAACGATTTTGTCCAAGTGTGTATACATGCAGTAGATATTGTCATGTACTAAATATACGAAAATAACGAAAATTAAACGACAGGAATGTTTTGGGATAGGTGCATTGTACATCCTTAAAGGGTCCCTTTTTATGGTTTGTAATGCTACTATAAAACATCTAAATCTCCCTCTACATTATTTTTTTTTCAGGAGAAAAAAAATTACAATACGACCTGATGAAGCCAAATTCAAGGATAATATGCCCATGAGCAAATATTAAATCCTTGTGGCTAGGATTATTCTAACTGCCTCTCATTTTAATAATCTGTCACGTCATGAGCAATATTACAGAAAAATATAATCACAAATCTACAAACCTTGCAATCAACAGAATAATTGCCTAAAAAAGGCGATGTATGTCGAGAGTTTTTAATCATGTTAATATTTGTATTGAGCATATTCTCCTTTTTGTATACTCATTACATCCTACAAGAAGAGGCCACACATAGGCTCTACATAATCTCCATTCTGGCAAAATTTGGCATGAGGACTTATATCATTAGTACTACTGGAATAACTTTCGGTCTTACCGAGACAGAACCAACCATAAGAAAAGGCATTTTTGTACTACTGAATACAAAACACAGAGTTTCAATGGTTAAAACTAAAAAGAGAATTCTTCCATTTAAACACCTAAATAATAAGCACCGCCCTCAGATTTACCTGTTCTGTATTCCCCCGTCAATCAGGTGAATTAAGGTCCATCATTGGGTTCTTGAAATTGATTGACATTTAGCTACTAGTCCCTGTGTATAACTCTTTCACCTTGTTTGACAATCGTGTCCAACATCAAATTAAATTTCGGTTTTCCGACGTTTACTACATATATTTCCAGCCATAAGGAAGCCATTTCGATGTAAAGAATTTAAGCTTGATTATAATTGATTATAATTATCTGAATTACAAACATGTCATTGAAAAAAAAATATCTTATAATGATTCAGTAAAATAAATCAAGCGTGTGTATACTACTACTAAAGTGCATAAGTGACTAAAATCACGTTTTCACTCCAAAAAAAAAATCTTGTTTCTGAGACACAGCGAAAAATTTACGATGAAAACAGAAAAGTGAAGTAAGCTGGTAATTAACACTTTTTGTATAGCAAGGCCGAAAGGAAAATATTTGATTACTTACAACTTCGCCTGGACATTTATTAAGGATTTCTTTCTTTCTTTACCCAGGATTTCTTGCTACATCGGTCCTTACTTGTACCTCTTTTCCATGCAAGTGTAAGAAATAGTTTTGAAACAAAAACACATGTTAGAAATAAATATATACTTCGTTTTAAGTTGTTTTATTATAATCTAATGTACTTAAAATACATAACTTTACGAAACCATCGTTCTTGCGAATTTTTCACAATAGGACACATTTGCTAAAAATAGGACCCCACGACTTTTCTTGCAAATTGGAAGTAACTGTTGGTCGTTATCGAAGCTCTAAATGCTCCTGTATTCACGATAATTATTATTAAATAGTTTTTTAAAAGTTGAAAGAGACATGCAGGGATTAATATATTACTTTTGAAATTGTACCTGTATTTCATGATTTTTGCAATAAACTCAACATATTGCTTTTGTGACGTTCATTGTAAGGTACATACAGTCGATTTAAAGTTACCGGCCGGCCGGTGAGATTTCTGCTTATTTGATATTATTAGATAAGAGTCTGAATTAACGGAATTTGCAATTATCATATTTTACTACTGATATTTTCCATTTTCGATGTTGATATCTAATAATTTCATGATCCAATGTAGGCCAAACAAGCTGAGGAAATACTCATGGACTTCCTGTGTGTACTGTTTGTCTATAGGGATTAGCGCTTCCCACGGTCTGCACGACGGTCAATGTTTCAGGGTATCACGCAGGTAAAGTTAAGTGCCTCCCCTTAACTGAGAAAACCGTACAGTTAAACATCACGGCCTTTAAGATAGACACATAAGTATGTGTAGTATAAATTTCTCCTCATCAGGGTATTTAAAAAATAATGTAGATATACTAGAACTATTGAAAAGAGATATTACTAAGCATATAGATTTGGATGATACATACTTAATGTAGATATTAAGCCAGAACAAAAAATGTCCTAATTATGTAAAAGGCAGTATTGCCTCAAATATTCAAATAGCTAGAAATATCTCCATAGGATATGAATGCTAGGTTAAATAAGTAATGCAACATGAAAAGTTGTATTAATGCATGAAGTCGGATAAAATATCTTGAATAGTTTCTTTGGAATTGGAACTGAAATCTAAAAATGGATAAAGATGATAAATTCTCAACACATTATGCTAGATGCGTTAAAACTTCATAAAGTCTTTTTAAAGACCAAAATGCCTATGCTATAAAATCACTCAAAGTGAATGACACAGTCTGTCGTCTCAAGCCAAAGTTCTTTCCTACACATGGTTGCTTGATCACACAAATTGTCGTAATCTTGAATATTTACGCCTGTTTGCTGTAACGTCATCTTTAGCCAATGAAAATATTTGTTTCCATTGCAATTGAAATCAACAACTGACATCATCAGTTAAAATAATATTTCGTAAACTGCGATTGAGTATTGAAAGGTTAAGTCATAGTTTATTTTCCGACTATTCCTTTACATTGATTTGCTTTGACTGGTCAATATTTTAATAAGTAAAGAAATAAATAAATATTTTCTTCTCATTTAACATGTTCAACCACGGCTAGAATTGGAGAGGATAGCTCATTTTTGCAATGGTTTGCGACGATGGACACAGTACTAAGCGCACAGACTTGTCTGATATTAAGTCATAATGGTTTAAAAATGCTTCTCATATTATGACGTCACGTTTTACGCAACGTTTGTGCGGCTTAGCGGTGTGTTGTGTGTTATAATATTTCACAAATGCTTATTCGCGTCAGTATCACAAAAGGAGAAATACACGTGACGTATTTTGTCGCCCTTGTGGCGCAGTGGTTAGAGCGTCTGCTCTAAAGTCTCGAAGTAAGGAGTTGATCTTTAACGCAGTAGGTGAGTGCACGAAAAAGATCCAGAGGGTGGTTTTCCTATATAATCCTTTTTGTAATCTTTGAATTGCCAATAGAACATTTTTTTATGTAATGATTATTTAATACATATTTAATACATTTCTAAAACAATTCAAAAATCACAAAAATGACAATTAAGCATATTTTTGATATATTACGAAGAGATATAAAAAAAAGATATTTGAGGAACTTGTCATCAGACCTTCAAGCCCTTAATCTGATAGGATGTGTGCCCTTTTAAAATCTACCGGATACAATTGGAACCAAGAGAACAAAGTCAGTGATATGCAACTCGTAGATATAATGCCAGGCTAATATTCAAGGAATATTTAATATTAAGTTCAATTGTGACTAGCGATATTTGATATCCATTTATTATATACACCCGGAAACAAAAATAAAATGGGTAAACATAAACTGACAACTGATAAGGAAATGTGATTTTTTTTAAAAAATTCGAAATAGGGAGATCAATCGGGAACTGGTTTTGTTGATTTTGGGAAGAAAATCCTGATACATTCTTCGGATAACTTTATTTTATCTACTTGGATTTTGAAATGAAGTGTTACACAAGTCTATAGTGTACCTGTATATTATGTAAGTTTTGTTACGTTCTATTACCTTATGATTATTTAATGACCTTTTTGTTGGGGGGGGGGGTTCAAGATATATTACTTTGCAAAATGTAATTATACTTTGACCTTAGCCATAATTCTTCAACAATTTAAGCTAGGAGCTCAATATTTTACTTGCATTCTACGACACCAATCCTTTTATTTGGTACCAATATTTTCTAAGGAATAAAAATAAGACATTTATCTGATTTTATAAGCATAAAAATTCTGAGAATGAACCGAATGGCAAATTTGAAGACCTTCAGTATAAATACAACACTGTCGTTTCCATTGTAAATTACCTTTCAGAGGAGTGTTAAAAATGGCTATGGCAGTATCCCCTTACTCGTCTACAAAAAATGCCTGCAGAGCCTGTCGACTTCTCATCGGTCCGTGTACTGATGAACTGAGGGATGTATTACGTCATCATGTACCACCGTCAACATTCCCACATGTTTAATCAAAAGATAGATAATCTTTCTCGTCTGACAGCACCACAACTAAATCTGATCCTGCCAAGAGGTAGTACTTATACCGGAAACTACGAGGATATGGATATTCTTTTACTGTACATACTACTCCGAAACATGTGTAGTATACCACCACACACCAATGGATGGGGAAATGATCCAGACCCTACTGAAAGATCTCTCTCTGCCAACATTGAAAGGATTCGAATTGCCAGAAACCAGTGTGTTCATTCTTCTAGTCCCGCCCTATCCAATGCTGATTTCAACAGAGTCTGGTCCACCGTCAGATCAGCAGTCGGGGACCTTGATTCTCTCCTTAACAATAGAAACCAATATGAAAGAGAAGTTGATTTTTTGAGACATGAGACAATGGACCCTGTCCGTGATCTTTACTTCATCGAAGAACTGAGAAAACAAGCAGCAGAAGACACGGCTACAAGAGAAAGAGTTCATAGCCTAGAATGTAAATTTAACAATTGAAGTATAAATGAAACATAGTATCTTATTTCAATGATTCAATCTGATAATTATCTGTCACTATTACTTGGACATTTTTTAAAAGTTATTTCAATTTTTTTAAGGTAAAGTAGAACAGATTGCTAAAAATCAAAATGTTCGAGAAAATACGACGCAGCAGATTACGGGCAAGTAGCAATATTTATACGTCCTAACTGATTAAGTATTTCAATGCGTTACATAAAGGACCCCATACTATACGCACCCGCTAAACAAAAAAGGAGGTAACTTCAAAAACCTCTTTTTGCATGCTCAATCACCTGGTTTTCAATTTTTAAAATCCATGTCATAAATCACCTTATCTTTCGCTGACCCCAGAACACTACATCTTTAAACTGTGTAAAAATCATATATTAAATGCTGTATGAAATAAATTAGAGGAGCTATTTCTATTCTGGAAAAACCTATTTATTCTTGGCCCCTGTAAATTGATTGTAAATCAATAAATAAAGTTGAAGTTGGTATGTAATAGCAGTCCTATTTTCACACCCGATTTTGATTTATAAAAAGTTTTAAATTCTGCAGAGAATATAAGTACTGCCGTATGTCTGGTTAACTTGGAAATTGCAGACATATCTTAATTATATACTGCTTTACTTGTTTTGACATAGAATGTCGTATGGCAAGTGAAATTAAAGTAAACACATGACAGCTTTGTTTGTATAAAATGGTTGGGACGCCAGTGAGTTAAACAGAACTACAACAGAATGATGAATGCCCAAATTATGTAGCGAAACCTTGAGTATAATGGACGAAACCTAGAAAATATATATATCAAGAAAACATTGATGTAACCATCAACTGTCGCCCGAGAAATATATATAAAGTAAACAATGGAAATGAGTCTTCATCATCAAACCGCTTCGATATACATGTGTGAAAAGGCATGCGTCTAATTGATGGAGACGATAGTCGCGAATAATTTGAAAACTTATAGTCGGATAAAAAATCAAACAAAAACGATACCATTTTAAACTTGATCAATTCCTCAAGTAAATGTTCGTTGCACAAAATATAAATTGAAGTTAGACACATGCATCACCTACATTCAAATTGTATTAATTTTTAATCATAGAATATAAAACACGAACTGTGAAGAGTATGTTTTTATGCGAGAAGTAAAATTCGATGTTCTAAAAAGGGGTCCTGTCGTTTTTTCGATAGTGAATGATAAGCAACTTTATATATTAAATATGAAAAACATATATATTTTTACAGATTCACTTTATTGAAATAAATATATTATGTATCTCGTAATTTATAAAGGAAAAACATTCTGATTAACAATTTTTTTCAATGTTTAGAAAACCTTTAATTCTGAATAACTTCTCCCACCCCAATTCCCATACACTAACACTTAAACGTATATGTACAGAGCAGCCCGGTCCTTATTTTTTCTTTACAATCTGCTTGCTGAAAGGCTCTCTGGGTTAATTTAGAGGATAAGTAATGACCTAATGTATGTTAAATTTTGTGAACATCGCTATCAACGTTTAACATAAAAAAAACATGTATATGATATACTTTTTTTAAATTAATATAAGTGCATGTAACCCTATGATGTTTAACATAACAAGGGCTATAATTACAACCCTATTTTTATTCAAATTTTCTCACACAGATCTGCAAGAAAGTACTTTTGTTTGAATTAATGTCACTGAGCATCCTTTTAGTATTGAAAATTCTAATAGAAATCAAATTATTTAATGGGTGAAAAGAATATACATACATGTACATGTATGATTGATATATGTTTTTTATCTTTTTTTCAGATGAAGTAGCATAGTTAAAAAATGAAGCTATTCCATACAATGTTAAAGGTAATTTTTATAAGCAAAGACAGTGTGTAAGTGTTATACCTGATATTCTGCTCTTTTTAAGTCAAAGGTTTTGATTATTTATTACATACTTAGTAATAGTACAGGATTTGCGTAGCGGTATGCGTTAGGCCTGACTTCATAATTATAATGACCATATCAGCCCTGTAGTGCTGATATAGATTTACGGGACTAATACGGATAATTGTCATATCCATAGTAAATGAAACCTAAAAACCAGCACTTGTGATAATACTAACTTTGGAGGGGGGTGCACATTCTCTTTATTTTACATTTTTGAATGTAAGGATAATCTATTTAAAAAAAATAAAAGATTATTTTCAAATAACGGATCGGACACATTTGAAATAGAAGAACTAACAAACACAAACTGTATAAGACAAAAGATGTGAAATGTATGAAGTCCGTACATGATTATTTACTTACTTTCTTTTCAACTTAATGTGTATTGTATTTTACTAAGTATGCAATAACATAATAATACATAACCCTTTCAACATCAAATCCTGTATCAACCCTCAACCAATATCAGCTCTCAATGATAAATTTTTGCTGACAAGGTCATTGTATCGACCACAGAATTTACGAAATGATAACTTTTAAAGAGACTGTTGATATTTTAGTTTCATCAACTTGTTTGTTAATAATATATCTCGTATTAGAAATTGTTCATACGTAGAGCATGCTCTTTATATATTATATATATTTATCTCAACACGACTTACGTTTCAAAAAAAAAAATGCTCGATATTTATTTGCAATTCTCACTTGTCAAAATTGATTTCAATTGAAAATACATGGTCTTCCATATGTAGCTCTTCACGAAAACGATATCCTGCAGTAGAAAAGAGAAGACATGGTATTCTTTGAAACACACAACTTCTGCGCAATGCTGCAAAAAGTGAAGAAAAATTCTCATGTGACGTTTGTTGGAGTCCCTGGATCTGGAAAAACAGCAACAGCTCGTCACATTGCCCTGATGTTACAACAGGAAGGGTATGAAATTTTACCCATCAAAGACATCAGAAAGATAGAGGACTACTGTGATCCCAATAATCCACAAGTATTTGTTATTGATGATGTGGTAGGTGTATTTGGACTTCAAGAAGTAAAAATGAACCTTTTGCTTGATTACCAAGATAGAATCATGAAGCCCGCAATGCCAAAATCAAAAGCCCTCATGACATGCAGAGAAGCAGTATTCAAAAAAGCAACTGAGTCAAATTCATTTTTTAAAGACAAAAATACTATTGTTTTGTTACATAGTGAAGCTTTTGCTTTAACTATAGATGACAAAAAAGAAATACTCAAAACCTACAGCATAGAGGAAAATATGATGTCTCCTGCAAGTTTGACATCAGCATCAAAAATGTTTCCTTATCTTTGTAAGCTGTTTTCAACAGAGAAAAAATTCCAGTTGCATGGTTCTGTATTCTTTCACAATCCAGTTCCATGCATTTTGAAGGAACTTGAGGAATTAGAAAATCAAAACAAAATTCACTATGTTTCTTTAGTGTTATGCATGATGAACGAAAACGAATTATCTGAGAAAATTCTAGAGGAAAGGGAAAATGAAGGAAACTTCAATGAAATCAAATTAACGGTTCTTCGAAAATGTAAAGTCAGTAGACAAACTGATAATTTCAAATTTGTTGATGCAATGTCGGAAATGGAGGGGACCTACACAAAGTTTTGTGTAACTCATTATAGCTTCATTCACGATTCTATGTTTGAAATTGTTGCATATCATTTTGGTTGTAAGTTTCCAGAAGTCATTGTGCAATTTATGAGCAGTAGCTTTATTGCAAACTATGTCCGACTTCATAGATTTCAAACAGAAAAATCAGAATATAAAGTTATTCATCCAAGTGAGAATATTGGAAACAGTGTTGAATGTATGTTAGAAGGGAATGAAGTGTGCGTTTATGAAAGAATACCGGAGGACAAAAACGTTACATTCAATGTCGGGCCATTTGATCTTTGTATAAAGATAAGACAGGATCTTTATCCAATGTTAGCTGAGCGTTTGTATAGAGATATAGAAAAAATGGAACTGCATGATGTTTTTATGAATAATGTTTTAAAACAAACTGAGGTTTGTCGGGCTTTTATTGAGGTGTTAAAGACGAAGTCGTACACAGAGTTGAAGTCTTTATTTCTATCTGTTCAGACAGACGTGTGTAAGGTGGTGAGTAAAGGAGAAAGTGTAACAGAGGAAAATGAGAAGAAGAGTGAGTGGAGCACTGAGAGGATGAGACAAAAAGTGTTGACAAATACGTGTAGGAAACCAGAGACTGTTTATTGTGTCAGGGTTATTAGTTGGGTGGTTAACTATGGACACAGTCAGATCCTAAAGTATATTTTAGAACAAATTGAATTACACAAGGAAACACAATCTGAACTATTCGAAAGGAATTGTTTTAATCCTGATTCAATGTATATCATAGGAAAAGGAGAGATCTGTCAACATACTCCTGAAAAATACCGTCTATTACTACTAAGTTGTTACAGTGGTGATTTAGAAACTGTAAGAATAATACTGAAATATGTAAACAAGAACTTGATCAACGAAATACTCAGAGATCTTGATGATTATTATGTGTGGTCTGACACACCACTGACAGCAGCTTGTAAGAATGGATATGTGAGTATAGTAAAGGAGCTGCTAGAAGCAGGGGCTGATGTTAATCTACAAGACGAGGATGCTACACCACTGATAGTGGCATGTAACAGTGGACATTCGAGTGTAGTGAAACAGCTGCTAGAGGCGAAGGCTGATGTCAATGAACTGTGGATATATACACCGATGACTATAGCATGCGCATATGGACATTTGAATGTAGTAAAGGAGCTGCTAAGTGCAGGTGCTAATGTCAATCTACAAGATGAGTTTGATACACCACTAACAACAGCATGCATGCATGGATTTATTGATATAGTTATAGAACTGCTTGAGGCAGGTGCCGATATCAATTTATATGGTGAAAATTATACACCATTGCAAACAGCATGTGAGCTCGATTATGCGAATGTAGCAAATAAACTGCTAGATGCAGGGGCTAGTGTCAATCCACAAGGTATGGATGTTACTCCATTGACAGCAGCATATAGATTTGGAAATAACACTCTAGTGAAGAAGCTACTTACGGCGGGGGCTGATGTCAATCCACGAGGTGTATTTACTACTCCGCTAACAGCGGCGTGTAGAGTTGGAAATTACACTCTAGTGAAGGAGCTACTTAAGGCGGGAGCTGATATCAATGTTTATGGTAAGCATAATACACCACTTACAGAAGCATGTGAAGGTGGACATTTGAGTATTGTTAAAAAACTCCTAGAGGCAAATGCTGATGTTAATTTGCAAGGTTACAATAAAACCCCTCTGATAGCAGCAAGTGAGCATGGGCACCTGACAGTATTAAAGGAACTGTTAAAAGCCGGGGCTGATGTCAATAAACAATATGAAGAACAAACAGCACTGATAGCAGCATGCAAGGGTGGACATTTAGAAATTGTAAAGAAGCTTATGGGAAAAGGGGCTAAAATAAATTTACAATGCCTAAGTGAAACTCCATTGATAGCTGCATGTAATTCTGGACACCTTGCTATAGTGAAGGAGCTGCTAGATGCAGGGGCTAGTGTTAATTTAGGAGCAAAAATAAGTTCACCATTGAACGCAGCATGTGAGGGTGGACATCTAACTGTAGTAAAGGCACTGTTACAGACAGGAGCTAATGTAAATTCAAAAAATTATGATATTGCACCATTGACGTTGGCATGTGAGAGTGGACATTTGTGTGTGGTAAAGGAACTGCTTAGAGTTGATGCAGATGTTAATCCTAAGGGTCATTCTCATACACCACTGACTGGGGCATGCTTGGGTGGATATCTGAGTATAGTAAATGAGTTGCTAAAAGCTAAGTCTGATGTTAATTTGCAGGGTCAGTCTAATACACCACTGACAGCAGCATGTAACAGTGGACATATGAGTATTGTAAAGAAGCTGATAGAGAAGGGGGCTGATATAAATTTAGTAGGCGGAAACAAAACACCACTGACAGCAGCAAGTGAAGGTGGACACATTAGTGTTATAAAGATTCTGCTGAAGGCAGGGGCTAATATCAATCGACAGAAACAATATAAAACCCCATTGATAGCGGCATGTATGTATGGGCATTTGTGTATAGTGAATGTATTGCTAGAAGCTGGCGCTGAAGTCAATCCACACAATCATTTCACAACACCACTGACAGCAGCATGTAAGGGTGGACATCAGAATGTAGTTGAAGAACTACTGAAGGCAAAGGCAGGTATCAATCCACGTGGTCATGATTATACCCCTTTGACAGCACCATGTGAAGGTGGACACGTATATATAACAAAAGCGCTATTAGAGGCTGGAGCTGATGTCAATCTTCCAGACAAATCGAATACGCCACTAACAGCGGCATGTAGGAATCGACACTTCATTGTAGTGAAAGAACTGTTGCAATGGAAAGCAAATGTTAATTTACATGTACTAAGATTTCGTAAATATTATACACCACTCATAGCAGCATGTGAGGGTGGGCATAGAAGGATAGTAGAAGACCTGGTAGAAGCTGGAGCGTATATCAACCCACATTATGGAAGTAATTCACCACTAGTGATTGCATGTCATGAAGGGCATATGACTGTTTTTGATGAGCTACTAGAGGAGGGAGCGGTTGTAAATATTAAAGCAAACGATGAAACACCACTAACAGCAGCATGCAAGGGTGGATACCTACGTATAATAGAGACGCTGATAGGAAAGGGGGCCGAAATAAACCCAAAAGGCAACCGTATTTCTCCACTATCATGGGCAAGTGAAACAGGTCATATGAGTGTAGTAAAAAATTGATAGACACGGGGGCTGATATCAATCCAAAAGATAAATATAAGACACCGTTGTCAGCAGCATGTGAGGGTGGACATATGTGTGTAGTGAGAGAACTACTTACGGCGGGAGCTGATGTGAACCTACAATGTGAATTCAACACCCCTCTGACAGCAGCATGTGACGGTGGACATTTAAATGTAGTGATGGAGGTCATTGGTGCAGGAGCTGATGTAAACGTACAAGATAAATTTGAAACACCTCTAACAGCATCGTGTAGAAGGGGAAACCTGGCTATAGTAAAGGAGCTTCTTAACGCGGGAGCTGTTGTCAACCTACCAGATAACAATAATACACCGCTGACGGCAGCATGTAAGGATGGACATCTAGATGTTGTAAAGGAGTTGATAGAGGCAGGCGCTGATGTCAATAAACAAGATTCTTTTGGAAATACTCCTCTTCATGTTACAATTTTATATCAGACAAAGCTTGCTGTTCCGGTTGTTTTGATTCTGAACAAGTATGGTGCAGACTCAACAACCTGTAATAGGGAGAGTCTATCATCCTTGTGTGTTGCATTAATCAATAACAAAATGGATGTTGTGAAACAATTCCTACAAACAGAAAGAGAAACTCGGCTGAATAAATTACGTTTCTTTAACTGTTTGGTTAACAAGACACGGTGATGTGATATCTGATAGTAAAGATGATGTAGTGGTAGCACAGCGACAAGTTTGGAGTATAGAATTATTTGGAACTGTGTATTATATAATCTTTGAAAGTGAGTGCATTGTTCTGAAACATTTATTGGGATTAGGACTGGATGTTAATCAGTTGGTTTAGGTGTATGATGACTTTAACTATGAGTTTGATGTCAGGCCTTTGCTATTTATTCTAATAGATGATGTCAATACAGTGAGGGACAGGGTAGAGAAGATGAAAATACTTCTTGATGCCGGGGTAGACGTAAATATCAGGGTGAAGTATAGTACGTGTGATTCTGCGTCAGACGAAGATGGTGTCCTTGATAGGTTTAGTGATGAAGATGGAGATGAAGATTATGTTGATGTGTTAGATAGAGAGGGTTTGTCTGTTCTAGAGAGGACACGAAGAATGGTTAATAAGTTGAATTATAATGAGTATAGCTCGAATAATACCACAGTATCTGAGTACAAGACAGTGTTGAATGAAATCAAAAAGCATGTGAGACGATACTCTGTCTGAAAAATAAAAAGTTTGTGATTTTTTTTATTCCCGAGCCTTGGCGAGGGGGATAAAAACACACAAGGAGTTGGATAAAAGTCATATCCAACAAGAAATCATGGGAGATTCTTTTTTATATGTCCCATTTTTAATACTTCACAATCAATGATTTACACAGTTTTGTATCTATTATTCTCAGTCACTCCACATTATTTTATTTCATTGTAGGCAAACACAAAATCCTTTGTGATGTCATAACTATGGGATATGTATAACCCTAATAACATGTAATAGTTAATAGTAACAGTTAATAATAACATAGGATAAACATTATTATTATTGTATTTACTAAAATTTAAATCAGGCTATTTATAGACTCAACTTATGTTTATTTCTTTCTATAGTTTATGTACAAATAATTATCAAATCTGAATGAATTCTACATCGTCTCAAGCCTTGGTTCGGAGTCTGTATCCCTCCTACCTGTGACTTCTTGGTCACAAAAAGTTTTGTAATCTTCAATATTAACGCCCGTATGTTGTGACATCATGTTTAGCCGATGTCAATATTTGTTTACATCGCAATTGAAATCAACAATTGACATCAACACTAAAAAAGATATGTAATGCGATTGCATACAAGGTTGCGACACAGGTCATTATCCGAGTATGGTCTACTCGCATCAATTGGTCAATTTTTTAATGAGCAATGAAAAATTCTCATCTCTTATAATTTTTATATACAATATTGTTTTTCATCACAATAATTTAATAAATACTGTTAAATCTTTTAAATATGTTTTTAAATATATTTTCTTATATTCTAAAACTAGATCACGAGTTTACTCCATACACTTCTAGTCTAAAGCATCTCTGAAAATATTGTTTATATCGCTTGTAAATGTTTTTCTGCAAAATACATCTATGTAATTGTTTTTTTCTGTGTTTCCCTGTTTCTTTGTTATTATACTATTTAAGTAATTTATAAATATGTTATGTATCGTTGTATGAAACATTTTGTTTACACCTCTTGTAATATGGAATGAATATGTTGAAAAATTATTTTTATTTTGGACGACGATAGGGAGTGCATAAGTATATATAATTTTGTTAATAATTATTCATGATTAGTGAACAAAAAAATAATTCATTTACAATTCATGAATAGCATTTGGGAGTAAATAACTGAGAAAAAATGAAACATAACGCTCATTACTTTTTGTTTATTAAAAATGTAGTTTTGTTATACTTTTTTAAATTCATTGTTGTGATCTTTGACACTGTAGGAGGAGGTGAATTATATACGTCTATTAGAACTTTGTATTAAGATATTGTGTAAGTTTTGCAAAATAAATGTTTTTAATTTTTCCCATATTTACTTTTTTTCATAGGAAAAGCCGTCTACCGGGGCCCTTTCACTTTAAGTCACGAAGACTGATCCTGTTCCAAAGGGTCTGGGAATTTGAATCTAGAGTGAATATTTTCATATCAAGTCTCAATTCTTTTGAGGCAGGTTTGAGTTTTTTCTCAGTTATAAATATGAACATCCTTCAAAGTGTGATGTGATAGGTTGAGAAATGAAAAAAAAGCAATTTCTTCGGAAGATGTCACTGCAGACCTCATGAAAAACTGAATTTAATTTGTCAGGACCTGGGCAGTTCTACAAGTCAGGACAGTTTTTATCAAGGCAGTTAACTTTTTGAAGCAGCTTTGATCATTTTCACAATTTGCAACTATTGAATAGAATTATGCACATTGTATTTTAATCTTAGTTGTAAAATGTCATTTGATGGTGTACAGGAAATCCATTTTGTGTAAAATAACTTGCCTACGTCAGAGTGAGTTACGTCAAAAACGTATTACTCCGTATTATGTTACTAATTTGCTAAATTTTAAGCCTTTTTTGGAGGAAACAACATAACTTTGGGCAGATTTAAGACTTCAAATCTGGTCAATGTGACAAACTTATGTTTTCTTTTTTGGGTCTGGTTTAACTTATGGAAATGTCAGTCGGTATACCCCTGAGCAATACCGCTTATTATTATTGGCTTGTTATAGTGGGAATTAAGAAACTGTTAGATTATTATTGAAATACATCAATAAAGATTTAATAAATTCTGAACCAGGAGAAATGTGTAGCGATTACGGAAAAAAGCATACACCACTGACAGCAGCATGCGAGGTAGGGCATTTGAATATAGTTAAGGAGCTCATAGAAGCGGGGGCGGATGTCAATCTGATGGGGAACTCTTATACGCCACTAACAGTGTCAAGCATGGATGGTCATTTGGATGTCGTTAATGAGTTGTTAAGAGCTGGGGCTAATGTCAACCGAAGCCTTTATAATAGGGCATTAACAGCAGCATGTATTTCTGGACATATAGGTGTTGTGAGGAAGTTGTTGGAAGTAAAAGCTGATGTCAATCCAACAAATTTTCTTTTTTTATCTCGAACCTCTCATAGAAGCCTACAGGAATGGACACCTAATTGTTGTGGAAGTGCTGCTTGGTGCTGGTGCAGATATTAATTTACAACTTGAAAATATTGGTATTTCACCAATATCTGCAGCATGTACGGGTGGGCAAACACATGTAGTAAAGAAACTACTCAAAGTTGGTGCTGATGTCAATCTAACCGGTGAAGAAGGATATGGAAATAACGAACAGTATTCAATCTCAACGTCCATTAAACAAATATACAGAATAAGAGCAGAGCAAACACGGACCTCCGAAACATCAGAGGTGGGATCAGGTGCCATGGAGGAGTGAGCATCCCCTGCCGACCGGTCACACCCGCCGTGCGCTCGTTGTCATAATCAGGAAATAACGGAAAAAATCCGTGGTCAATTCAGTGTATAAATAATGGACTAACAATTGGTATGAAAAACGTCAGTCAGCATTTCATTCAATGATAAATTGTATTTGCTAACAAGGTCATTGTATCGACCATAGAATTTACGAAATGATGACTTTAAACGAGATTGTTGATATTCTTGTTTCATCAACTTGCTTGTCAATAATTTACCTCGTTTAAGAAATTGTTCATACGTAGAGCATGCTCTTGCGTATCGAATCAATTGAGATATAAATACTCCGTATGCAGGTGATGAAGGTATATTGCTGCATAAGTAAGGGAAGTTGACGATAGAGAAGTTAAAGTCATCACGTTTATCATATAGCTTGGTTGTTAGATTACCATTAGTGTCTTTTTCAAGTAAAATATCCAAGTATGAAGCAGAAGTGTCGGACTCTGTGGTATCTTTTATCTCAAGCTCACCAGGATATATCGTGTCGACGTAAGAATGGAAACTATCATTATTAATTGACAATACGTCGTCGATATATCTAAATGTCGAGTTGAAGGCCACAGCAAGTGTTTTCTTCTTTTCACGTAAAAGATTTTGCATAAATTCTGCTTCATATGAATATAAAAATAAGTCTGCTAATAACGGAGCGCAATTTGTTCCCATGGGAATTCCAATAGATTGTTGGAATACCTGGTCTCCAAAAACCACATAGATATTGTCAATCAGAAACTCAAGCATCTTCTTGATGTCAACTTCAGAGTACTTATGTGTGCAATCAGAATCTGTTTTAACAAAAAAAAAATTTCAAATGACCAGTGACGAGGTAAGTAAACTTACGAGTTCCATTTTTGTTGAAGAAGCAGCTGTCAATGATATCAAAAAGCCTCACCACTATTAGCAGCATGTGAGAATGGACAGATTGGAGTAATTAATGTGTTATTAAAGGCTGGAGCTGATGTCAATAAAACGTGTTTATTTAAAACACCACTAGAAGTAGCATGTCGGGGTGGATATATGAATGTCGTGACTGCACTACCAGAGGCAGGGGCTGATGTCAAAATACAAAGTTGTGATACTTGGCCTTTAAAATCAGCATGTGAGGGTGGAAAAGTGAATATGGTGAAGGAGCTGATTGCAACAAGAGACAAAGAATTTAATAATTATTTTACCTTACTAGTAGAAGCATGTAGGTATGGATATTGTGACGATGTTACTAGATTTAGGAGCTGATGCTGATATCAATCAAGAATCTTATGTTTATAGACCGCTGACAGCTGCATGTAAGGATGGACATGAAAGTGTAGTAAAGGCGCTGTTAAATACAGGCTCTGATTTAGATCAAGGGACTGAAAAAGATGAGACTCCTTTACTGACAGCATGTAATGGTGATCATTTTGGTGTTGTGAAATTGCTGCTAGAGGCTGGGGCTAATTTCCATGCAAATAATTATAACATCTTTAGAAGATTACTTTATGTAGCATCTTCTCGTGGGAATATTTATATTGTGAAGGAGTTGTTGAAGGCGGTAAGGGGTGTTTTTCGACGAGAGTATTTAGATTATCCATGTAGCCATGGGCATATCAGTATAGAGAAGGAGTTGTTAGAAGCAGGTGCAGATGTCAATCGACTTCACCCATTACAAGAAGCATGTTTTGAATGACATTTAAATGTTGTAAAGAAGCTGATAGAAGTAGAGGCTGATGTTAATAAAAAAAAATGCTTAAATGATTATGATACACCATTGATAACAGCATGTAGCTTTGGACTTTGAGAATAGTAAAATAACTGCTGCATGCAGGAGCTAATGTCGATGATCAAAGGGAACATGGAGAACCACTTACAGCAGCATGTAAGATTGGATATATGAGTTTAGTGAAGATGCTGATTGAAAAAGGAGCTGATGTAAATCCACAAAATAAAGATAAAATACCACTGATAGCAGCATGTGAGGGTGGACACGTGAAAACAGTGAAGGAGCTGCTAGAAAAAAAGCACATTCAGCATTTGTAAATAACAGACTCTATAATTTCAAGGTACTAGTGGTATAATTATTTAAGATGGATTTGACATTTGTCGATATCTATTCAAAAAGAATATGTGTAGGTCATTGAATAGTTTTAGGTTTAGGTTATTTATGCACCATAATCAATTCATTTATGGATTTCATCTGTATTGTATTATAATCATGCAAATATACTCGTATGATTGGTTGGATATTATTTTTATACAAAAAAACGTTTCATTTTAAATTCTACAAAACAATATGATTGTTACATGTTTATGCTTTTAATTTCAATTATTAATAATTTAATAATTTAATTTCAGTTTGCAACATGTCATTTGATTGGTTAAACGGTTTATCCATTTTGTATAGCATAACTTGCCTACCGCTTGACGTTAACTTTTAAAACATGCGATATTTGAAGCCTTTTCCGAAGGAAAAAATGGAATAATTATCTCATTGTCTACATTGAAATTAAATTATAAGGAATGAAGCTTATTTCAAGTTATGTTATACGACATAACATAACTTGGGGCAGTTTACGCTTTTTTTATAACCGCTCCGCGGTTTATAAAGCGTAAACTGCCCAAGTTATGTTATGTCGTATAACATAAGTTGAAATAAGCTTCATTCCTTAATTAATACTAAATATTTTCTAAAATTGTTTTAGACTTCTGGAAAGTTTTTTTTTTTAGAGAAAGGAAATTTTAAAGCAGTTGATCAGACAAAAATTTAGTGTAACTATAATTACTTCCAGATTTTTTTCCAGTCATTTTAGATTAATACTAAACACACTCAAACTATTATTAAATGGAAATCCTTTATATTGCTGGTATATTATACATCGTTCATTTTCAGTTTTGGTGACTTCGCATTTTACAAATACTCTAATATTTGTTTATAGATATTTATAAACATTTTCTAAAATAATACAGATCATTTTATATGTCTTTTATATACCATTACCTTAATAAATTTTGCAAACTTTCAGTTTTTTCTCTGTTTTGTTATTTTTTTAAGTGTGTACTTACGTAAATGTTTTAATTTCCTGCTTTGTTTGAGTTTATTGAGAGATACAAATCATATCTTAGTGCCATGTAGTTGGCCTTGTAAACTATAATAATGTTTACATGAACATTATCAATGACCAAAATTGAATTTACGGATTGCATACTTTATTTTGAGTGAGTTCTTGGTCAATTTTTAAGCGGTTAGCTAGCTAACCGCTTTATGGCATGGGCTCCAAAAAACCGGAAACTTCCATAAGGCGCTACCTATAGACATCGCTTTATCGCACGTAACCTTATCCTTCTGCAACCAAAAATCGGAAACTTCCACAAGGCGCTACCTATCGACAACGGTAACTTCAGCAAAGCGCTTCCTATGATTTGTATACTGTTTAATACGCCCCCTGGTGAGAGATTGACAATATGCTGTGAAGAGTGGCTATTATAACGATTATATCGAATTTTTATTATTATTTACCAAAGCATTGACAATACTTAGAACACTAACTTCAAAGAACTGAGAATTTGGTCCTTCTTATATGTACATCGCGCGATCGCGATTTATAGCAACTGTTAGTTTATTTTTGAAAGTTGAACGATACGGTTAATTATACAGCAGGTTGAAGGTTATTACAGACTGCAAAAACATCAACAAATCTCTCGATCGAGTTTGATTTGCCTTGCCAAAGTATTAAGAAACACCATTTATTAAGTTAGGTAATACCTAAAAAAGGCTTTTATAAAAACACCGAATGCATCTGTAAGTTTTACAGTTTTTGTAACGTTTTTATGGAAACAATAGGATTACCTCCACAATGAAACGTTTGTTTTTCTTCTCTTTTCTTCTCTGTCTAATAAACAGATTATAAAAGCTCTGCTCCAAGGGGTTAATTCTCTACACCTTCTTTGATAATCTATTACAAACGATCATAAAGGATCACTTACTTTTAGTTTTGAAAAAAAATAATGGGGCACTTAAAGTAGTAAAATTAGTTTTGAAAAAAAATTGGTGAATTATATATTAATGTTAATCAGGATTGTGATCCTCTTCTAAAAATCAATCGATATTATTATTCACAGAAGAATGAGGTATGAAAAATCTTGGCAATTAGCAAAAATTTAAAATATACACTTAATGCTTATTTATAAGTTTTGAAAATTTGATCAATTCCTAGGGAACGTATAATTAACTGTGAAAATACTTTTTAAATTTGAATTTGTCCAATTTGTCGATTATTTTTGAGCGTTTGAGAAGAATTAAATTAAAATACAGGTGTTTAGAGGCACATTGATAGAAAAGAAATCAGTGTACATTGTTTAATTGACATATTGAAGAAAGTGACACTACACTGATTTTTAGTGTAAATTTGAATTTTTAAATACTAGTATTGATTGATTAGACAACTTTCCTTTTCACATTTTATTTGAGAACAATATTGCATGAAGAGTATATGGCAAATACACATTATATGTCCTTATCTAAACATATTGTGCAAGACTTCTTTTAAGTGATTCTCATATACCATTTACTTTATTCGAACATTTACTTGTTTGAAAAGTCAATAAAGTACATTTCATAAAGCTTGATAATCTTGTTTACTCGCCAGTCTTCCCGTAGAAGTAGTAGTTTATAATATTACTAAACGGAAGTATTTAGTATCTGTATCAAAATACAGAATGAACAATGATCGATTTAAGAAGAAAATCTGACTCCTGGAAGTTCAAGAGGTGGGATCCGTTGCCTAGAAGAAGTAAGCATTCCTCGTTGACATGTTAATTATATAGCCGCGATGAGCCTACACAACTGAAGCTCTCTGATATCAATTCATTTACAAAGTCTCTGCTCAGCCATCCTTTTTTCTCTGACTAGCTAGCCGTAGATCTTCACTACTCCAAATCCATTAATCTAAAGAATTTAACTTGTCATTTCATTAGTTGTTTGCTATAGTAGGCTTTATAATTACCTAATTTCAGTTTCAATAGAGCATAAAAGACAATTAAATTTTCAACATCAACATAATTGTTTTCATCCAGAGAACAATTGGATGCCATCAAGATAGAACTTTTAAAAATGCACTTCCTGTCTTTCAAACTGAAGAAATCTCATGTTTAAATTTTGAAACATGCATTTCAATCTAATTAAAATTTATTTAAACCAAATCCGCCACCGCTTTTGAAACATCTAACATCCTATTCGGGGTCACATCAGAGCGACCTTTCGATTATGAATACATGTACAATTAAACACAATTAAACACAATCACTTTGGCCATGTAGATTCAAGCCTCGGTAAAGAATTCTCAAATTAATTCCACGGCTACATATCATCATTATTGATACGGTCTTATGTTGAATTAAAGTAAGTTTGGGATAAATTTCATGTTTTGTTCAATCTGAACACGACCCGTAAATGACCACAGACAATCTTTCTTACTTTTATATCAGCACCTATTTAAATTATGATATAATTTGTACACTTTGCCTTCGTAACACCTGATAACATACCTTAAAACCAGGGCCGACATGCAGTATCCCTTACCTTGCTCTTGTATTTTATTTAGATGCATTTATATTTGTTTATAAAACATGTCATGTGCAGTACTGAGCTTGAAGAAGTGGGATACTTATATAGGGGCTTTGGAATAAAAAGTAAAGGCGGATAAATTTAGTGAAGAATGCCAAATCATTTATTTTTACCAGTTGTGAACATTGTCTGCCTTGATGTTAAATCGTGCATATTACTAATCTGTCAATGATTTTTTCAGGCTTTCGGTCTTTCAGTACTTTCATTTTAATATATTGCGTTGATGTGATTCACCTGAGATAACAATCAAGCAGAGAATACTTTTGACCCAGACATACTTTTCAGGCAATAAATTTCTACACTTCATTACTTGTTTTTGTTTATCCTGCGATATTTAATTTTAGAATCTTTGTGAGATAGAGATTTTACTGGCCTTACATAAAGTCAAAACTCTTTAACTTGTGGGATTCATGCGATTTTTATCTAAAGGAAGCATCTGAAAGCAGAAATAAAAGAATCTGTGATATGCATGTCGTAAGTGCAAGGCTAATATTCAAGGAACTTTATTTTATTGTGGTTAAGGTAAATTTCGACTGGCGATATTTAATTTCGATTTTTACATGTTTTAATACCAGGAAGTAGAACATGTAAACATACACTGACATTCGAGAAAGAAATACGATTTTTTAATAATAAAATCGGGGGATCAAATCGAAACTGGTTTCCTTTCTGTTTGTACAGAATATTTTGACGGAGTATGGTATATTCTACGAATAACTTTATTATCTCTGTTTGGATTTTTAAATGAAGTGTCACACAAATCTATATTGCACCTCTATAGGTAAGTCTTTAAACTTTTTATTTCAAATAGTTATTTTAATTAGGGAATCACTATCTTCTAATTTGGTATTTGCGACCGTTAATGCTGATTTAACGGTCGCAAACTGAGTTGTACCAGCGATGTGTAAGCGGAGCCGGTAAATCGGATGTTTGTGACCGTTAAACCGGTATTAACGGTAGCAAATATCAAATTAAGAGATTAGTTATTCCCATTCTTATGCAATCCATGCATTTTGTTTGTTGTTTACGTCTTATTTTGACGAGTTTTGTGATATGAAATACGCCATGAAGCATCATGTTTTTCCGTTGCTCTATTATGACGTCACAATAAAAAGCTTTTACTCTCGTTAATTCTCGTTTTACTGCTTCAAACATCAGTGCATTAGCCAATCAAAACATGTTTTACAAAACAATTGCATTACATGTAGAATAACATTTTTTTGAGAAATCAACATATATTAATTACTGTGCAAAATATAATCATACTTTGAACTTGGCCAAAACCTTTGAACAGATTGTGCTACGCTTTTTTTTATATTGTACTTGCATTCTATGTTACCAATCCTTTTATTTGGTACAAACATTTTTTGCGAAATATCAATGAGACATTTGACAGTCTAAAGGCCTTCAAATTCTG